CCTTGCTCTGGAAGGAGCAGCTATATTTCCTACAAGATGCACTCAAGCCATAGGCACCGCACGCCAGGCCTATCACAGGTACAATTTTCCAGTTACCTGATGTGGGGATTAAAGTCTAAACCCAGCATTTATTCTGAGAATGTTGTGCTGGTTTTGTATTTGTCCTAAATTCAGCATCATGATTTTTAATGCGCTATTCCCTGGATCAAATAAGTTTGTATTACTAAATATAGGAATTCTCTCCTCACTCAAACTCAGCTCCCCAAGAATTAGATTTTTCTCCATCACCATTAACAAGGATTCTGCAAGCCTCTGGTGTCCTAGAATCCTCAAATCAAGACACACATTTTTCCTGTTTGTATAAAATTAAGCAACTGGAAGTTTAAGTGAATTCTTCCAAAGATGTACGAACTTAAAATGCAACGTGCATTTTTGTCATTGTCCTACAGTTGCCAAAAAAGTGTGGTATTATTAAGCAGTCATACCAAATCCTGACTGTGAAGGCTTTTAGAGAATATTAGTCTGTATAAGGCACACAAACCAAATCCCACTTCATACCTAATTTTGTATTTTAACAACGTAGCATTGAATAACTTTTTTTTTTTTTTTTTTTTTTTCCAACTGAACTAGGGTGACATAACTCTTTTGAATGTATTTGGCCTGCTCTACTTACTGGATCAAAACAGATTTTCATTTGTTTTAAATATAGCAGTGCTGAAATCTGCCTCATAGCTATAACAGAATGAAAAAAAAAAAAAAGATAAATATCTTATGCCAGTCCTGCCTGCAGCCATAAAACCATTTTTCCTTAGTTGTGCAGAAGTAGTCCTCTTACTGAACAGAAGTTATTTCTCTAGACATAAACGACTACTTCTTTTTCCAAACCTGTAATCTGTAGTGAAGTCAACAAACTCGAAGCTACGAGTTGCCTGGTGAGTTCTTAGTTTCAATTTTGCAGTTGTTTGGCAGAAGATCTGCATCACTGCTAACCATGCTGGAAGGTGTCCTAAAATTTTAAACATTTATTCCTACCACTTTCCCACATTAAAAAGACAGAATGCTAGAGTCAGTGATGAGCAGATTACAGTCTTGCATCTTCCCTGAAAATTGTGTTAAAGAGTTTCTTAACAGGATTTTAGGCAGCAGCAGCAGCTGAAGGATGAAGGCTCCGATCATTATGCAGAAGGGGCTAACCTCAAAAGCTGTGTTTTGATCTAGTATAATCTTTGTGAAATATTTCCACCACACCCCTCTTTTAATAGCTTTTTTATGACAACCACAAAGGTCAGAAGACTCATGGATATATGTGAAGAGGGGCAAAACCCATCCTACCAGAAACTACTGGAAAGGTTTAATTTTCCCTGAGCAACTGGTTCACTACTTCCTAAAGCGTGACATGTTAAAATATCACAAAACAGTCCCGAAACAAGCAAGTTTCAAAATGCAAATAAGGTAGATTTCAACATGGATTAATCTTGCAAGAGTTGTTCTTAATTACTATTATTATTTAGACCGTTGCAGTAAATGAAGCTTTGCCCAAACCCTTTTGAGTTTTTTTTTCTAGCCTTAAGAAATCATAAAAACATAAACCTCGGGTTTTCAGTCAGCTAGCTAAGGTGCCTTAATGAACTTCACGAAGTTACATATCATTCTTTGCAAAGCAAAAACTTAAAACCTGAAAATACTAGAACTTACTGCATTTTCCCCATGTTTTCATAGTTTAATTAAGGATCTGTAATACATAAAACTCTGACAGCCATCCATGTGGCTAAACTCAAGCGTTTTTAAACCAGGGCATTCCAAGCAAATAGCTGAAGTTACTTGGGCCTTCTACATTAAATATATTCCAACACAGTCAGCAGTGACTGTCTGGCTTGAGAAAAGTCTGGCATTTAATTCCGGAAAGAATAATCCTACGCAAAAAAAATTCAGTTTAGCAATCTGCAGAAAACCAGGAGCCATCCAGAAAACAGGACTCAGACTGTAGGCTCGAGCGCGATCATTTGGAGAGGCTTCACGAGGCAGAAAGGCAAGGCAGATGCAAAGAGCTAGACAGCGATGCCAGATGCTACCCAATTGTCTGCCACAATATTAGCATACGGTTGGGAGCACAGGTCAGACAAAGGCAGTAAGACAAAACCAGAACTTGTCTAAAAAAGTTTGCCATGGGACTGAGTCAAAAAGCTCGAGAAAAACGAACGTCCCTCCTCCACAACCAGCAAGGCTTTTGTCAGAGGTTTCGTTTTCTTTAGCGGCAACATGTGATGGGTCAAATCAATGCTGACAGAAAGCGACTCTTCCGTTAGCTGGGATCTGAGAGGGAACAAGCACAACTCCTCACTCCTTCAGCTGAGCAGCAGAAAAAGTGAGTCCATTCGCTGCAACAAAAGGAGACTGCTAGGCCTGCTCGGAAACAGCGATGGTAGGGAGAGGTTTCAGGTGTGGTTCATCAGATGCACAGAGAGCTATAAATAGAGGTGCTGCGGGTAAGAGGTTAGCTGTTGCAGAAGAGAGCTTCCTCTGCTGTGCAGCAGGCTGGACTTACAGCAGCATGGCCTAAGACAAGACTTCAGAATGTATTTCATTTCTGCCTTGAGAAAAGAGCTAGCTTTTCAGTTTCTGAAAGTGAGCAGGAAGGTGAAACAAATTGAGGTTGCTGTTGCTTCTCTTGGTTTTACTACAGCCTGCACGGTAATAACGATAACATTTAGCAGTAGCAAGACTTCTCCAATTTTCAGACGCTCTTAACTCTGCTAAAATTTCAACTCTTGTTACTAATGGTAAGCTTCCTAATTAACTCAGTGTGGCGTGTGTGTCCCCTATCAGTGATCTAACTATTTCTGTAGGACACCTTGAGTACAGCTCATGGCAACTCTGACTTAGTTTAAAGGCAGCGGGGGCGGGGTGTGTGGTATGTGTTTCTTTAGCCTGATATGAAAAACCGAGCTCAGGAGGATTGTTGCAGACCAGAGTGCTGCCACAGTGGCACTCCTCTCCCAAAGGAAAACCGGGCTGAGGAGCTCCCCAGCTGTCAGCCCTGTGCTGGAAGTTGCCTGGTAGTGGCTGGGCACCGTGGGGCTCCACACTGGGAGCGGGAGGCATGGCTGCCCACTGGGGTCCCTGCCTGCTCGGCAGGAGTTACGACAAGGCGGACACGGCTTCCAGCCTGGCCTGTCTCTGGGTGCTGCCCAAGGAGGAACGCCCGGTCGCCCCCTCTTCTCCCAGTACCGGTGATCTCAGCTATGGTGGGAGATCACCAGCCTCAGGGGAGCCATGGCGGGAGGGCAGTGGCCTCAGGGGAGCCACGATGGGAGGGCACCGGCCTCTGACAGGGGAGCCACGACGGGAGGGCACTGGCTTCACCCCCTTTCTGACAGGGGAGACGTGGCCGGAGGGCAGTGGCCTCAGGGGAGCCATGGCGGGAGGGCAGCGGCCTCAGGGGAGCCATGGCGGGAGGGCACTGGCGTCACCTTCCCCCTGACAGGGGAGCCATGGGGGGAGATCACTGGCCTCAGGGGAGCCATGGCGGGAGGGCAGCAGCTTTACCCCCTTTCTGCCAGGGGAGCCATGGTGGGAGGGCACTGGCTTCACCCCCTTTCTGACAGAGGAGACATGGTGGGAGGGCAGCGGCCTCAGGGGAGCCATGGCGGGAGGGCACCGGCTTCACCTTCCCCGTGACAGGGGAGCCATGGCGGGAGGGCACCGGCCTGTGATAGGGGAGGCACAGAGGGAGGGCAGCGGCCTCAGGGGAGCCATGGCGGGAGGGCACCGGCTTCACCTTCCCCCTGACAGGGGAGCCACGACGGGAGGGCACTGGCTTCACCCCCTTTCTGACAGGGGAGACATGGCGGGAGGGCAGTGGCCTCAGGGGAGCCATGGCGGGAGGGCACCGCCTTCACCTCCTTTCTGACAGAGGAGCCATGGCGGGAGGGCACCGGCTTCACCTCCCCCCTGACAGGGGAGTCATGGCGGGAGGGCACCGGCCTCAGGGGAGCCATGGCGGGAGGGCAGCAGCTTTACCCCCTTTCTGCCAGGGGAGCCATGGTGGGAGGGCACCGGCTTCACCCCCTTTCTGACAGAGGAGCCATGGTGGGAGGGCACCGGCTTCACCCCCTTTCTGACAGAGGAGACATGGCGGGAGGGCAGCGGCCTCAGGGGAGCCATGGTGGGAGGGCAGCGGCGTCACCTCGCCCCTGACAGGGGAGCCATGGCAGGAGATCACTGGCCTCAGGGGAGCCATGGCGGGAGGGCAGCGGCCCCAGCCCGGCGGCCGCGGACCGGCCCCGTTCCCCGAGCAGCCCCCGGCCGCCGAGCCGCGGCGGGAGCGGAGCGGCGCGTCCCTGACAGCCGGCCGTCAGCAGGCGAACCGACCCTCCGACAGGGACTCCCCGCCGCCCCTGACAGCGGGCGGGAGGACACCGGGACCGGTCCCGACCCCCGAGCGGGGGGAGCCCGCGGAGCAGGTGGCGGCGGAGGGGTTGGGGCGGGGGGGGGGGGGGGGGGGAAGCGCCGTCCCCGTCCCGCCGGGGGAGAGCGGGCTGTCAGAGGCGGGAGGGGGGAGAGGAAAACCACCCCGGCGACACGTACCTGAAGTAGTAGACATCGCTTTTACCGGCGCTGAGGCCCGACTTGCGGATCACCTCTTCCTTCTTCCAGCCCGGGGGCAGCGCGGGGCAGTCCATCCTGCCCTGCTTCTCCATGCACCGGGCGCAGGGCCCGAGGCGGCGGTGGAGGAGGAGGAGGAGGAGGAGGAGGAGGAGGAGGAGGAGGAAAGAGGAAGGACAAGCGAGGAAAGGGCTCACCCGGTGCCCCACGACAAGAGCTTTATTGTTCCCGGAGACGGCCGGGGCCGGGACCCCCTGGCGATGGCGGCCGCGGCGCGCTGCTCGGCGCCAGGAGCGCGGGCTGCGCGCGCAGCCGGCGGAGCTTCCGCGGCCCGAGCGCCGGGATCCGGGGAGAGGAGGAGGAGGAGGAGGAGGAGGAGGAGGAAGAAAAGAGGGTGGGGGGAAAGCCCTGCCGCGGTGGACGCCAACCAAACCGGCTCCCTCATCAACCGGAATTCACCCTCCGTGATTAAAAACACTTCCCTGCGCGTTGTCTCCACGCCCCCGCCGCGCTCGGTTTCTTCGCGTCCCAACACCCTCCGCCGGGCTGACAGCCCGGGGGGAGCTCTGCCGAGCGCGGGGCGGCTTCCCGCAGCGCGACGCGAACCGAGTCCCGTCCCCTGCCACACAAAAAAGAAAAAAAAAAATAATAATTTTTTTCTTTTTTTGAGCCGGCGCTAGGACCTGCGCGGCGCCGCCGCCCCCTCGGCGGGGAGGGCGCAGGGAGCGCGGCCGGGAGCGGCTGAGGGGATGAGTCAGCCCTGAGGCGGCATGGAGCCCTTCCCGCCGCCCACGGAGGAGGAGGAAGATGAGGAGAAGGAGGAAGAGGAGGACTGGTTTGGCCCGCAGCGAGGCAGCGGGACCGCTCCGCCCGCCCCTGGTGAGCGCGGGCTCCGGGAGGAGCGATGGCGGCGGCTGCTGAGGGGAGCCCCCCGGTCGATCGCCGAGGGGAAGCCCGCGGTTCCCTTCCCGCCTCCCCTCCCGCCGCTGGGGTCCACGCGTGGGGTGGGTGAAGCGGGAGTTGCCCCGCCAAGGTGGAAAGGCGGGAGCTGCGTGTGTGGGGGGGGAGGCGGGTTCGGAGCCCGAAGCGCGGCCCTGCCGCCTCAGGGAGAGAAATGGAGAGTTCCTCGTGGGCGCCGTGGGGAGGGGAGCGCCTCTCCCCACGGCTTTTGCTTTTTCTTTTTTCAATTATTTCTGTCGTCTTGCTGGTAATCGCTTTGCTTCTCCTCACAGAACCTCAGTAGACATTAAATCCACCACCAAACAACAAGCGGAAGTAGGGCGGGGTTTCATTCAGACTATCAACTCGTTTTGTTTTGGTTTTCAGTTTAGACAAACCCCCTTTTTTTATCATTAATTTTCCTTTCATTTTTTTAACCTGGCAGGCTTTTCACAGCAGGGTTTGCTGTTTGTTGGGTGGCTATTTGCCATCACTGGCCACCCCTGGGAAAGGCAAATAACCGACAGAGCTATTTTAACGCAGTTAAAGACAGATTATTCATACAAAGTTTCAGCATTCCAGTGTGAAAAGATCAATAAAGCAATGTTCTAAAATGGTGACGTGAAAAACAAATACAACCAGCTCTCCAAAAATGAGAGTGTTTAGTAGTAAGTCAAGCTGCTGAGGATGACTTATGCTCCTGAGTTAATGCAGCGCTAGAATTGGGATAAAACTTATAAATGTTCTGTTCTTGTTGTAATATCTGTTTGGATTAGGTTTTTTTTTTAAAAAAAAAAAAAAAAAAGCATGTGTACGGGGGCTGGTAATTTTTAATTTGTTCATTTATTTCCCTTGTAGCAGGCCACAGCAGGTCTGTACTGGCAGCGCGCAGAGTGGTTGTGCACATTGACTTGGACTGTTTTTATGCACAAGTAGAAATGATCCGTCACCCCGAATTAAGAGAGAAACCTTTAGGTATGAGTTACTCTGCTGTTAATTTGGGGGTTATATATATTCAGGCAGAGAAAAACCAAGGCCGTGAATAAAGACATGCCTGGGTGGTTGCACTGGAGCTGGAACCACATCCAGAGTGAGCAAAGCGCAATCTAGACTCCACGTAGCTGTGACTACAAGGTGAATAAATCCTCCTGAGCACAAGTACAAGCGCTTGCCGACGTGTCTGAGCAGTTTTGGGGGTTGAAGCGGGTTTGTAACATCTGTGGGCATGGAGAGGGCCGAGCTCCACAGATGAGCCTGAGCCTTTCGACAGAGTTCAAGCACGAGTTTTAAATTTTGAGAGAGCGTCAAGCGCGCTTTGCTCCATGTGGAAATTCAGAATGAATGCGAGGCAGTCAGGAGAAAGTACATCGTAAAATGACCGCTCTATGAAGAGCACCTTCACGGGGAAGATTGCCTGAAAAGGCCCAAAATTAAGAGCAATATTGCAATGGAGGGAATAAAAATAACCTTTTAAAACGTTCTTACCATCCAGTGAATGAAAAGATCTGGCCTTCTCGTGGTCTTGTAAAACAAGACTCGTGTTGCTCTGTTTACTCGTTCTATGATGTTGCGCTCTGATCAGAATACCAAGAAACCTAAACTTTAAAAACCATTTCACCTTTTTTTTTAGGTGTGCAACAGAAATACATTGTTGTTACATGTAATTATGAAGCCAGAAAACTTGGAGTGAAGAAAATGATGTCTGTCAAGGATGCTAAAGAGAAGTGTCCTCAACTGGTACTGGTTAACGGAGAAGATCTAACTGCATACAGGGAAATGTCGTACAAGGTTACAGGTACAAAATTATTAATTTTTCAGCAGAAGACAAACAATTTATGTTAAGCTATGTGCATATGCACATGATAGCATGTTGCATTTTCCTTCTCTAAAAGTTACTGGAATGAGCCTCAGAGCATGGCAATAATATTTACAGTCGTATAATGTAAATATTTCCTAAAATAAGCTATTTAACTTGGTTGCAATCTGGGTCAGGTGCTGTAACTGGATCATAGTGATGTTATACGGGATCTGCGCGCTATGTTAGTGTGCTGAGTTTCTGTGGTGCGTTTTTTCTGGTAACAGGAGAGGGGGCTGCAGCAGTTCCCCCCTGTGAGAAGCTTCTTGAAGCTCCCCTGGCTGCGAGTCGGACCCACCTCTGGCCAGGGCTGTGCCTCTGCGATAGCGTATTTAAGCAGGGGAACCTGAGAAGGGGTTGAGACTTGTGAGGGGACTTGTGAGGGGGAGTTGAGAGGAGGACGGACGCCTGGGTCAGCAGAAGGGATGAGGAGGAAGGGGAGGGGGTGCATTGGAGCAGAACCCCCTGTACCCCATGGGGAGATGGCAGGGCCACCCCCCGCCACCCAGGGAGGTCACCGGTGGAGTGGAAGCCAACCTGCAGCCTGTGGAGGAGCCCACCCCGGGACAGGCGGCTGCACTTAAAGGAGGCCGGGACTCTGAGGGAAGAAGCAGCCCCCACTGTGGTGGTTCGGTGCTGGGAGGGCTGGAACACGCAGGAGGGACCCACGGCGGAGCAGCTCAGGAACGGCTGCGGCCCGTGGGGAGGGACTCCCGCCGGAGGAGGTTGGTGGAGAACTGTCTGCAGTGAGAGGGGAGCCCCGGGGAGCAGGGGAGGGCTGTGCGGCGTTCCCCCCAGCTCCCGAGCAGGAAGGAGCAGGAGCTGACTGTGACCCCCATCCCCTGCCCCCTGCGCCGCTGGGGGAGGAGGGGGAGAGATGGGGAGCAGAGCTGAGCCTGGGGAGGAGGGAGGGGTGAGGGGGGGAAGGGGGTTTGGGATGTGGTGGCGCTTCCCACTGTCCCACCTTGTCTGTTAAGTGCTGTCTTGTTAGTGTTTGAGTTAGTGATGTTTCTTTTTACTTCCCCTAACGAGTCTGTCTCCTGCCTGTGACCATAATGGGTGAGTGACTCCTCCCAGTCCTCAGATGGATTCCTTGAGCCAATTCCTGCTCCATATTCTGTCCCCCCCCCATCTCTGCAATGCGGGAGGGAGGGAGCAAGCGGCTGCGTGGTGCTCAGTTGCCCTCTGGGCCTAAACCACAACAGTTAGGATTATGCCCATGGAACAGTTTTTTTCTTGATTTAAATCCTGACTGCAGTAATATATTTCCAAATGTGAAGCAATGGAGGACAGAACACTGAAGCCTTCAAGGGAGTGAACTTCTCCAGTATCTCTTAATTAAAAAAGCCAGCGTTGCCACTGATTACTGCTTTTATCATGAGCAGCATTAGCAGGTGAAATCATAGCGATGTAAAAACAAAAGCCCACCTAGTTGGGAAACAGATTTCCCTAGGAGGAAGGACTGCAGAGGTTAAGAACTATAATTTCAAAAAGAAATGAGGAAAGAAAGAAAGAGAATTGGGGAGAAGAAAGGCAGGTGACAGCGGTAGTTGTGTGATGAAGAAATATTCTTCAGCTTCACAAAAATCAGCGCCTTATTCTTGTAGCTGGAAGAGAACAGATTCTCTTTGTGCAAGCGTCCTACTTGAATCCAGGAGAATCAGCTGTGGGTTGATGAAGGCATGAAAATTTCACATTATTGGCTGTGTGCATATTATCCTTGGGTATCTTTTTCTCCTAGAGTTGTTGGGGGAATTTTGTCCACTGGTGGAAAGGCTTGGCTTTGATGAAAATTTTGTGGATATCACTGAGATCGTAGAGAAAAGACTAACCCAGTTGCAGCAAAGTGGTTATTCCGGAGTCAGCGTGTCTGGTCATGTTTACAACCACCAAGGTGAGTTCAACATTCTTCGTGTTGAAAAGTACGGTAAAATTTGTGAAATTCAGTATAAAGTATCTGTCTGCTTCCAAGTATTGGCCAGAGCTGAACCGTCAGGAACTTGGATTGCTCTGTGCTTGGTTTCTGTATTTGAGAGTCCATGTGTCGCAGATGTTCATCAGCTTTCCATTTCGATGGTAGAAAAAAAAAAATAAATCTCCGTGGTAGGTAAGCATGTGCAATGAGTTGGGAGAACTTTCACTGTCCTTTATTTTTTTTTATTTTTTAAATAGTTTTACTACACTAAGACACAGAATTCCGTTTCAGCTTGAATGTTGTTACCGATTTGGCAAAATGGAATGAGCTTTTTAACGAACAAAAACCAAAAACCAGTACATTTTTGCTACAGTCACAAGGTCAGGAATGGACTTACTGCAACTGAAGTAGCTGACAGAGATGCTCCAGACATTGTCAAACACGAATGCAATAGCTGCGCCGCGCTATTAATTTCATGCGCTAAGAAGGAAAGCGGGTGGGTTTTTTCTCAGATTTTTGAGTTATTGCGTTGTCTTTGAACATGGTTTGGAGAGAAAGGAAACGCCTGGATGGTTCTTTCCCTCATTTGGCACGTGAGTAATAAATGTTTCCTGTAAGGCAAGCCTCAACATTCAAGATCTCTACACTTTGGTTACATTGGTGCAAAAATCTCTGATATTTAACGCTTTTCTTTGACATCTCTTCATCTGTTGTATTTGATAGTTAAAATACTCCCTAAACATGTTTCTTGGAAAGCACGCCCCTAGTTTGGGACAACAGCAATCTCCCTTTTACCAGGTTTTTGAGGAGATAAAAGTGAGGTTAAACTTGGATACAGAAGCTGTGACAATACCACCTGACCATACTTTCTTCTACCGCTTTAATGTAATATAAAAAAATACCTAAATCTAGAGAATTAGCTAACTAGGTGTCTGTTAACATACTCCACGCTGCTTGGTTGTTTTTGTTTGTTTTGTTTTGTTTTTTGTTTTTTGTTTTTTTTTTTTTGTTTTGTTTTTTTTTGTTTTGTTTTTTTTTTTTGCAGCTATCAATTTGAGTGATACAACGCATCTACGACTAGTTATGGGATCTCAGGTTGCAGAAGAATTCAGGGAAGCCATCTACACAAGGCTGGGTCTCACAGGCTGTGCAGGAGTGGCTTCGAACAAATTATTGTCTAAACTAGTATCTGGGACCTTTAAACCAAATCAGCAAACTCTTCTTCTGCCTGAAAGCTGTCAAAATCTAATACGCAGCCTCGATCACATCCAAAAAGTGCCTGGTAAGTATGATGCTGGGAGTATAGATGGAGAGCAGAGTGACAACTTAAAAAATAATGGAAAAAATTATAGCTGAAAGAATTGTAAAACTTAGTTTTCGCAAGCAGGCAGCGGGGTATGCAGATGTGTGTTCAGTTTGCATTCTTCTTTTTCATGAGCTGAGTTTTGTTTAGCGGAAAGAACAAAAGGATGTGGGTTTTCTTTTTAGCTGTGACATAAAGGTGTTGCAGCACTTGACAAGATACCTTCGAAAATCCAAAAATCTCCATTTGTTTTTATCAAAGCCTCAACGTTGTGGTTGAGAGTAAGTTTTAAACCCAAACTTTGGAAAACTTGCTGATTGGAAAGTGACTGACAGTTATTAAAAGAGTCTGTTGGAGCCTGGTAGAATACTCAGAGGAAGTAATTTTCCTAATTATTCCATGCTGGAATTTTCCTAATTATTCCACCTTTGCTGTATCCCAGCGTGGCTTTTTCTAATGGCAAATTCTAAAATTTGAATGGAAACTCACCGAAAACGTTGCTGAAAAGCTTGCATTGCAGTAGAGAAAATGTCAGTACTACGTGAGTAGGCATTTTTTATATCTAGGTGTAGATACTTTTTCACTTTTCTGTGTATTTTTAATACACATTTTATTTAGGCATCGGCTACAAAACTTCCAAACGTCTCGAAACTCTGGGTGTTAAGAACGTGTGTGAGCTCCAAGCGTTTCCAGCTGCTGTGTTAGAGAAGGAACTGGGTGTTGCTCTTGCTCAGCGTATCCAGAAACTCAGCTACGGAGAAGATGACTCCCCTGTGACTTCATCGGGCCCTCCTCAGGTACAAAGATTATTCTGAAGTCTGTTGTAAAGCGCAAAAAGATTGGGTTTTGGTTTATACAGCTTTGCCGGACTAAGCAAAATGATGCATTTTTATATGTGTTCTCTAATACAACTCATCACATAATCCTCCTGAAATTCAGTTGAGCTCAGAGCATCAAAGATCTCTTGGTGTTAATTCTACACGCTTAACTGTGATACTTTTTTTCCCTCTTCAGAATTTTGAAGCACATAAAAAAAAAAAAAATGAGAGGACTAATGTGTTTTTTTTAGTCCTTTAGTGATGAAGATTCCTTTAAAAAATGCTCATCAGAAGTGGAAGTTAAAGAGAAAATTGAAGAACTGCTTCCCAACCTATTAAACAGGTGACTGTCTTCTTTTTAGTGACTGAAATTTTGACCTTGGAAAGTGTGTTTAGGTTTGGCTCCCACTCTACGTTTCTCTCTGCAAAATACAGTTCACAGAGACAGCACCTGCCTCTCCAACTTCCTCTTTTTTTTTTTTTTTTTTTTTTTCTTATTTTTTTCTCAATTCATAGATTATCCTGCCCTCGCCCCGCTTTCTTTTTGCCTCCCTCTTTTTTCTTCCCCTCAGCCTGGCTGCCAACCCTTCCATTCCTGGGCAGCTTCTCCGATAAGGACCTTTGCATTTTCCAGTTGCTGCTCCTTCTCTTTTGCTCTGGTTGTGCATCCCAGGATTTAATGCACCTTCACTCATCTCCGGGAAGGATCCTACCTTTTCTTTCTCTTTTCATAAGTGACTTTCTCTGCTTTCAGACCCTTGGCGATCGCTACTGATGCACGCCTGCTGTTCCACAGCTCATTTTTTCTGGCAGTCTGAAAGAACATTTTCCCTTTGGCCATCCTTCCCTTCCCCCTATGAATCCAGGGACTATCCAAGCCCAAGATACTTGACAAAAACACCAGTATAGCAGGAGGATGCATTTAATCACGTCTTGACTACTGTGACTTTCCCATCCTCCGACTCTCTTTATTTATTACTCCTTTTTACTATTTTGTTTTATTCTAGAACTGTTTCCTGTTCTGCCATGCTTCAACTCCTGATTTTTTTAAACCCTCTTTGCATCAATCCTGAATAGCCTTTGCATCCCTCATTACTTCTTTTTATTTTATTTTTTTTCTCTAAATATTTTGATATTCTCTGCCTGTCTCTCTAAGCCTCAAAATCATCTACAAGTCTTTAAAAGTTTTCTGTCCCCACCTCTACGCAGGTCTTGCAGCAGGTACATCCATTTTTGTTATATTAACATTGTAGGCAAGCCTTTTATCTGTATCTCAGACACTGCTCAGTAATTATGAAACTTGGATTTACAACAGGTAGAACTGCAACATTTTTTCTTTTTTTGTAGGGAAAGTATGTGCCCCCCACCCATACCTTTTGGAAGGGGGAAAGAAACAATTAAATACTTTATTTCTTCCCCTTCTTCCAAAAGCCAGCAAACATTTGGCTGCTGAAGCGGGGATGTTACCTTGAAAAGCAAAAAGCAGAGCGAGAAACTGAGGATTATACAGGGTATAACTGCAGAGACGATACTACTTTTAATGCATTAAATATTGAAACGTGGCATTATTGCAGACTCACCCACTTAATTTTCATATTCAGTTAGAGACAGTATTCCCACTGCATTGAACTTTTAATTTAGGGGTAATTAAGGGAACCAGCTCCCTGTATAATCACTGGAGTAAAACTAGAAGTTGGGAGAGATCTGTAATGCTTAATTTGACTTTGTCACAGCACCGAGATTACAGTTTCCCCAAAATCTCTGATAAATACTCCTAATAATACCGATTGCTTTGTGCACATTTACGCTCCCTAGAATATACAAAGATGGAAGACAACCACACACGATAAGACTGACCCTCCGGCAGTTCTCCTCAACCAATAAATGGTTTAATCGGGAAAGTCGGCAGTGTGCTATTCCGCCTCAGCTCATTCAGAAATTCGGAAAAGGTAAACTTAGTATTTTTGAAAGTATCAACTTTGTGCTGCTACCGGCTAATTTCTCTGTAAATTTTCATTACTGTCATGATAATATTCCCTACACTTAATATTTGAAAACTTTTCTGTTGCTTGTAATGGACGTCGGGTGATGTTACAAACCTCCATGGCTCTGCAAAGGCCTTTTTTGGTAGGATTAGATCATTTTTCAAATCTATTCAGCTTGGCTTGTGTTCTGTAATTCTTCTTTTCTAACCAAAATACATACTATAATCTTCACAGGTGTAAAATTAAGCATTTTTACTGGAAGTGGGGGGAAAAAGTCTGTTAGTTCAGGACAGGGCAGAATGAACATCTTAATGACTATATTGACAGATTTTTTTGGAAGCTTTTAGCAGTGTTCCGAGTTTAATACTTCAGGAATTCTTGTTCTGAGATGAATAAACGTTTCCTCCATGTATACAGATGGAGTTATAAATACTCTCATAGTGCTAAGGATAGCTCTGTATTTTCAACTTCTTAAATTATGATTGGTCTCTTAGTTTTGTGTACATGCAAAACGTTGAAAGTTCAGAATGTGAAGTGAGAAGTTTGCCGTTGTACTTTACTATTTAAAAATCCATCTCAGTCTGTTACCTTTGTTTATATATACATTGATTTTTTTCAACCTTTTTTGTTTTAGAAAGCAGCAACATTCTAACCCCCTTAGTTGATATACTCATGAAACTCTTTCGAAAGATGATAGATGTAGATCTACCATTTCATCTTACCCTTTTGAGTGTCTGCTTCTCCAACCTCAAAGATTCTCCTGGCAGCAAGAAAGGATCAATTGGTTTCTATCTAAAGCAGACATCACCACCGTCAGGCTCTGGTAAACGTGTCCGGGTAAGCTGAAAGATACTGAAAACTAGCTGCAGGGAAGGAAGTTCTGAGATACTTGGGTCTTTATTATATAAATTGAAACCTTAAATGAAGATTTTTATGGAGTTTTCTGAGCAGGTGGTACTTCTTTACTGTCTTTCATTAGACAGATTGCTTAAAAGAGGTTTAATGCGATCTTGAATGAGAGAGCCAGCTAGGTTATCAAGCCCCTTAACTGAAGAGAACAGAATTCACTGAGGGAGAAATCCAAACTTCTGCCTTATAAAAAAAAAAAAAATTGCTGAATCTGGCTCTTCATTCCAGGAAGCTCTGCCCATTATTTAGCATTTCTGAAACAACAGGGCAGTTACTCAGATATTGTTTTACTGCAGCATCTTTTACCCTTAGAGTAAAATCTCCTTAAAGTTGCTTATCATTTACTTTGCTGCTTTTAAGATCCTTTCACAGCCAGTATTTACCTTCCTATGTATTCTCAAGTCTCCCTGCTCAGACTAGAAATTAATTAATTCAGTATTAGCCACTACCACTAGTTTCTGCTCTAGCGAGCTTCTAGTTCCTACTCAGAATTGGACAAGTCCCCTCCCTCCCATTTGCAGGTACTAGACGGTGTAGGAGCTGCCTGTGGAAATGCTGCTAAGGATTTCCACAAGATGCTTTTGGGTACATAATGCAAAAACTTATTACAGAACCTAATGTTGAAGTTACTGAGTTGACTGGTTTTGTCTTGACATAGCAATTTTGCCTATTGCTAAACTTGTCTGTTCCTCAACTGCTCAAGAATATGATGGATAACGTCCTATCATGTATTCCAAAGCTCCACAGAGTTTTAAAGCAATAAAATATAACTTTAAGATATTTGCTACTTAAAAAGTAGGAATTCTTTTTTTATTTTAAAGGTCGATATTTGAAAATAAAATTTAAAAAACCACTACAGATCATAAAGAAAAAAAAAATACCTGAAAAATTTGGAAGAATAAATAAAAGGAATAATTTGAAGAACTTACTGTTGATAAAATAGTGCTTGGTCACACGTAGATTATACAGAACATACTTGTGGTTTTTTATGTACCTTTTTTTGCCCCAGGAAGTAGAAGATGTCTCACAAGGTGAGGGAAGTGCTTCTTGGAACCAGAACTGCAACAGAACTGGAACTCCAAAAACTAGGAAACTTTCAGAAGAAAAGCAAAGCAATATTAAAAAAGCAGGAATTCCTGACTTCCCCTTTCATTTGTCTCCTGGTGACATTGACCAGGAAGTCTTCAGGGAACTTCCAGAAAATATTCAAAAAGAAATTATTTCGGAAAGAACAAAAGCCATCCCTATTGGGAATGTTTCGGGTCGGCCATCAGTGTGTTTTGCAGAAGAGCTACACAGCCCTTCCCCAGATTCTAAGGACGTAAACAGGGATACGCGTTCTGCGGGGTGCAGAACGCATCTCATGTCAGCTCCGGGTTCTGCAACTGCTTTGGCACGCAGCTCCGGGGTCGGTCGTTCTTGCCAGTGTCCCAGAATTGCGTGGACGAGCAGCGGTGTGGAAAACCAACCTGCTGAGTCTCTGAACTTGAGAGGCAGAGATCCGGCGGCTCTGGAAGCTGTTCTGCAGGTCCCTGCCTTGGATAAAGGTAAGCAGGCCTTTGAAACAACTTCTGAGGATAAAACTTCCAGCAGGCAAGCAGGATTTGTATTTCCTCCTAATGTCGATGCGAAGACTTTTTATGAACTACCTACAGATGTGCAGAAAGAACTATTAGCTGAATGGAAAACTCAGGAACTTGTGTCTAAAACATCTATGGATAAACTCCCTGAAAAGACTACAACAAAGAAAGGAAAAAGGAACGCAGCACCGTGTTTATCCCAGCCTAACAGTTTGCTAAGATATTTTAAACCACAGTGAAGCAGGTTTCATAACAGTGACACTGTGAAAAATCAGCAGTTGAAGGCACTTTAGTTATGAAAGGTTTACTATAAATTGTAAAGACGTGAATATTAGACATATTTTGACAACTTTTCACATAAAACTTGCTAGTGATTCTGTTTAAGTAGTAATTAGTCTGTCTTCTTTTTCTTTCTTCTAAATTGATACTCATCTGATAAATCTTTGGTTGTCCAAAAAATATTATAGGATGCAAACATATTTTAGTATTCACTATTCATACCTTAACACGCTGATTGGGGGAAAGGAATTTTTATTTTCCTTTTCATTGAGTTATACTATATATGGAGTTAATTGTTTCTCCCAACTTGGGAGGGGATTGAGGAGAGAAGAGGAAAGCAATTTTCACACTATCCTTTAATTTGCGCTGCTGTTTCTGGGATTTGTAATGGAAATTTCTATTCACATGGCTAGCACAAGTTCCTGCAGTAACTCGTAACTAGAGGTAGTAGAAATACTAAGGGGTAATGGGAAACATTACTTCCACATGAATCATAGCACCAGCTTGTTCCTGGAAATTAGTCAGCATATAAAAATTGTTCAGGATTCAGAAAATGACAAATAACTCTGGGTATAAAGAGCAGCTTTTAATGAGATGCTGTATCTAGATTCAGCAGGCTTTTCTTCAAGTATTTAATTCCAAAACAGTGAAAGAGTTGCTAATTACACACAGTTAGTTACTAAACATGTTTAAAGTCTCTAGCACAGAAGATGGTTGCTCGGTTCAGTCGAGAGTACATAATTGAGGTGAGTATTTATCAAAGTGTGTTTTAAAGTTGTGGCAAAATATCTGACCACTCCTGTGTCTTAACATTGCTATCATTTATATCGTCTGTATATATATATTCTCTGCGTATAAAGTGCAAAAATAGTACAAAGCCATCACCTGATTACAGTGAAAACAACATCCTGTACTTTGATGGCACTTCAGGGTCAATTCTTGCGTCATTCCCGAGAACAGAGAAAACCAGCGTTCACCAGTTAAACAGTTAAGCTTTAAATATTTCCACAGAAACCACAATTAAAATAAGCTTCAGCATCTCCTACTTTTCAAAATGAATCCAAGTCAAAGACGCATGGAACTTAAGTGCTTGTTATTTTCCACTTACATTTAATTATGCTCTTTCAAGTCTTTCAGTCCAGCTCTGGTTTCAGTGATTAAGTTTACGAGAGTAGTAGGTAATGCCGTCTCCACTACAGAACCTGGGAGCATTCCTCCTAGTTCTGGCTGAATAAATACAACCAGCTTTGAATGCTGCGGATTCCTGTGATGAAAAGAGCCAAATCCTTCAGTTAACACTTGTTGCTCTTGCTAGGAAATTTCTGAGATGTACAAATGTTGATAGTTTATAGTCCATGTCAGTTGAAATTACTGCTATGGAAAAGGGGAGGGTGCAGAAATTTTCAGTTGTTTACAAAGACCGTCCAAGGCACAGAACTGAGCCGCACAAAACTCATAAAAGTTTCCCCAGAATAAAAGTGTCTAAATAAAACTTCTAAGCAAGCTGCATGATTCTGTAAATTTTAAGCTTTGGTGAGAGAAAACAACTGCGTAACCAACGACGTTAATACAAGGAGGCTTGAAATACTTACTCAGGCAAAGGGGAACACACGTATCCACAGGGATTATTGTAGCCTCGGACACAAGAGGGAGTTGGAGGGCAGCTGGAATATTCCACGCTGACAGCTGTAAAATAAAAAAGCAAAATCAAATTAATGATGTTTACAACTCGACAATAACCTTTTAAAACCAAATTGCTGTAGGATAGCACAAGAGCTCACACTGCACTGGGTTTAGCAATTCCATTCTGAACGCAAAACGCCTAAAAGACGTGAAATATTTGTGCAATTAATTCAACACATGTAAAAATTTCCATGGCTGTTTGGGCAGGCACACCCAAAAGTATCCTTGAGACGTGATTACACATACGTACGTAAGTGTTGAGGTGTGGCTTAGCTCTGGACAAAGAAGTCAGTTTGTCAACAAATATCATTAATTAGTAAACGCAATTGCAGAGAAGATGAGGAAACTGCTGCCCACATGCACAGTAGTAGCTAGGAGAATTCTTTTGTTTACTTATCCATTACTTTTACATCATAAAGGATTGCAAGAATATGGCTTGAAAAATACTGATAGCTCACTAAAGTTCCAAGATGAAAAATGTTGTTTTCTGCCATGTACTAAAATCCACAAAGGGAAAAGATCAGCACAGAAATTAAGTGGCAGTGAGAGATTTTTCTTGGAATATTCATCATTTTCCATTTTGTATAAGGTTACAGAGCCAAACTCTGAGAGAATCAAATACGGGGCAAATGAGCAGTTCACTCTGAGAACAGCTTATTAGGCAAATAGCAATCTGGTCAGGATCTACGTACAGAAAAGTGTTATAAAATAATTTATGTAGTGAAATAAATTCTAGTTTCCTCATACTACTACGTTTTTCTTCCATTTTTCAAAGCGAGGCATAATAAGAGAATCAACAACACAGCATTCTCTTTAAAGATCAATTCTGATAGTTTCAGTATGAAAAAATCCACTTTATTTGGGGAGGGGACTCTTCGTAAGAGCACACAGAGCAAGGGACTGCGATGAGGCTGCAGAACTTATTCTGCCACCTTAGGATTTCCAAAATATGAAAACACACAGTGGTTACACGCAACTTACAGTTAGTTGTAAGGATATCACCAGGGTATGGTTTAACATGCAGCAGGTCAACAAAATCTCTTGAGGAGATCAGTCCCATACCGTAACTGTGTGTTACACTGTGGTATATACCAGTGTCCTATGGGTAAAGGTATTTTTTTTAATTAGTATGTAAGAAGCTAGGTTTTATTTAATTGGCAAAGCAGCATTACATGGTGAATAACTGTGGCAAAAAATGGATGCCTATTTGTTAGCATAAGACAACAGTTCTCATAATTAATGCTGAACTAATTACGAGAACCGTGGAAGGGATCCTCCAGTACCACAGGGAAGGGATTCGCTGCCATTCCTCAGGGCTTAGATTTGCAGCAGGGCTATAGTTTCTGGGTGGTAAAACTCAAAATGTGCACATTTCATAGGCACGTTTGGTGGAGCTAAATGCCTATTTGCATTAAAATACTCATGCTAGATTGCACATTGCGTTCTAGGACGAAGATGTTACACTAAATCAGTTCCAAAACAAACAAACAAACAAACAAAAAATACATCCCAGGGGAATGTACAACTACATCCTAACATCTGAACAACTCTAGCAAATATAAGAAAGTGAGAGAAAGGTTCAGGGAAGACAAAAATGGGAGGATTTTTTTTTTTTCCCCCCTCAGTTTAGGGAGTACTTTTATATACCTGAGCCATTCATATATGTGGAAGAAATCCTGCAGCCTCTCTCCATCATACCGTCTCTAGCAGTTAGACCAAAGCCAGCTAACACAGAATTGAGATTCTTCATAGAGATTCCCACTTCTGGGTTTCCAGGATGCTGGAGACTAAGCCCCAAGCTCCTGGAATTCAGAATATACAGTATTTCAACTCAAATTCTGTGTTGCCTTTAACCTTGGTGATACTTTTTTTTTAATTTGCATAAACTATGCTCACGGAGAAGGGAACTCGCCCTACATTTTGTTGCCATTGTGGCTCACCCTACTCTTGATGGAGACTTCTGTTTCCCACGGACCAAATTCTTCGCGTATTTTAGGACATTTATTTCATAATAAATATTTAAATTTACCCTAATTTTTAAATTACCCTGAATATTTAACTCCTAAGGGGAAGGACACATTTCATACCCATTTCACATAAGCAGCAGGTTTAGAAGTTTTTACTGACCCAGAAAGTATTTTGCATTGAGAGCTTTCTTCAACCAAGTAGAGATCTTTCTAGCCACCATAATTCATGCAGAGAGTTAAAATAAAATCTTTCTCTTAAATTATCATATTACCTGGTCAATCCTTTCTAACAGCTTGTAAGATTGCAATGCTTTGTCCCATTTGTTTCGATATTCAGGAAGATACATAAAAGGAATAATTTTACTAGGGACTTCCTTAATTATCCCTTCTCCCCGGTATCTAGGATTGTGTAAAAAAACAGATATTGAATTCACATTTATGAACTGGAGAAATAAGTGATACAACAGCAAATTAATAAATTAATATATATCGATAAATCATAACTAATTACTAAATTATAAATCAACACATTATGAAGTGATACATTGCAACTTAATAATAATATAGTAGTGTATTATAAATTAATATGTATTAATAATTAATAAATAAGTTATACAATAATAAGCATAAGTTGGGGATGCCAGGCTACAATGAGGTAAACCACACAAATGTGATTGCACTTGACGGATTGATTAAAATTCAATTAGTGATAAAAATTACTATTCTGTAACTGATTTTTGAGACCATTACATTCTTGGCACCACACATTCTTAATGCATTATTTGTGAGCTATTAGATAGGAACCCGTTAATTTAAATAGATGCAATTCATCTATTAATTTATTTTTTCTATATAGATACTTTCAATCTGTTTTGACAGCGATTGCAAATCTCACTATTTACGAACTGGCACATTCTGACACTTCAGCTTTTGTTCACAATCTTCAGAGAGTTCAAGGGCAAGTTCACAGAGGGGAAAAAAGGGGCCTCTCACAAGGAAATAGGAAACTCCTGTACTGCTGAAAGTTCTCACACCTAGTTCCTGGAGAAACTGCGAATCATTACAGTAAGTACTCCCAGACAGCAATTAAATGTAAAGGTGAAGGATGCTGCACAACGACAGAGGAGCTCAAAAGGAGACTCATGTTCCCAACAGTTTAAAAACCATGAAGTCAGATTTACAGCCCCTGACGATCGATGAGCAGAAGTCAGAAGGAGCAGAGACAGCCAAGTTCAAACCCAGACACGGAGACCCCGTAAAATCACGGAGTCTGGTTCTTCACTCCGCACCAACTCTCGTCACCACTTACTGCCTCGGTGGAGCGGGCGCAGTGTGGGCGTGCAAATCTACTCCAGGTAACTCCACTAACTACAGCGAGTCCGATGGGGATGGAAAACATTCTAACACCTACTCAAACCAGCAGACGTAAGCTGTGGCAGGACCAGTTAAAACCAGCAGGTTAATATTTGGATACACCCTTTATTTCCCTAACTCCCATGAACTCATGTTTACCAATCTCCTAAGCAGCTCTCGCCTGCATCCTGTAGTATCTTCTCTCCTAAATTCAGTGTGAGTTGTTAATCAGGACTTCTTCTAGACAAGGCTTCTGAAAGACACAGTTGCTAGAATAAAACAAAGGGCACACTTGTGAAAAAAAAAAAAAATCTCAATATCCAGTTTTTACAGTGGGAACACTGGAAAAAGAGGCAGTAAGCGTGGTGAAGACCACTTGGATCACCAAATCTAGTCTCATTATCTTAGAAAAAATGACATGCATACCTCAATGATTTTCTTGAGCTTAGGTGACATAATTCCAAACAAAATCCTATTCAGCCTTGAAGAATCACTTTAATGTTTCCCTAACCCCTGCTGAAAATATTTCACCGGCCTGAAGCAAGGATCTCAATGTTTTTCACTACCAGATCCCATCCTGATTTCTTTTAGCAAGTAAAGCAAACTGTTAATACTCCTGCCAGTTAAAAAAGAAATTGGTATTTGTGAGATGCAGTTAATAAATATTCCATGTCAAAATGGGAACAGCTATACTTTTGCTCCTAGAAACAGCTAGTAGTCTTTCACAGAAAACAGGCTAGGGACCAGCAGTGCTTGTTAACGTGACAAAGATTTGGTCAAAAAGAAATGAATGAAAGATTCTGGCTCCCTGGACCAAATGGCAAAAAAAGACATTGATGCTTCTCCTAACCACAAGGGATTTGCTTCCTACAGATCAGAGCAGAACTGAAAATGGCTTTGTGCCTGATGGAGACCACTGCACACCTTTTTTCCTCCACAAAAGTAAGTCAGGCACATTCCTAGGAATTCTAAGCAACCAGACTCTCACTCCCTCACATCCACCTATATTGAAGTAAGATCTAAAATACAGTAATAATGCCACATACGAAGTATGCAAACTCTTATTAAGATACCAGTACTTTTAGCATATCCTAATAAAGTAAGACTATCTTCCATTATAATACTACAGAGGAATTCTTCTGTAATACTAGTGATAGAGCACTGTCTTCTGTAGTTAATACTTTCCTTGCTTAAACCTTCAGAAATAATGAAAAAAGCAAGCAAGACTTCTGGATTTAGAATACCACCAACTACAAGCATCATGTTGAGAACAAAAAAGAATCAGCTGCAAATTTTCTCTCCTCCCTATCTGTCCAGATTGGCATTTAATATAATTTAACACTCATTAGGCATTTAATACAAAAAAAAAAAAGAGAAGCTAAGGGTATGTTGCAAGTGTCCTCTTTTCTTCTGCTTTTACACACTTCAGTGTTATTTTTTTTTTTCTTTCCCTGGGTTTAATGAGCTGAATCAGCTTGGTAAACAATCAACCAAGTGTCACAGTCACTGTAAATGAGAAGCAGCATTGCAGAGCCTAGAGAGGGGTAGGGAAAAGGAGGGCAGGAATGTAAAGAGTAGAGCCAACTCTAGCTGTGAGATCAGCAGAGTCCGCCTCGCCTAACTCCACCCTTTGGGCCAAATCTAGCTGATAACAACAGCACAGAATTCATGGCTCAAGAGAAGGAAGGACAGATGGAGTTGCTGCTCCAGAGATTATATGACTTTCTTCTTCTCAGTACAGCCAATTCTGTTTCAGGTGCCAGAAAGAAAAAGTATAAAGGCCAGATAAGATAAAGCAAAAACATAAACATGTCTGCATGCATATCAATCACTTCACAAGCATGAAGGGGTGAAAATGAAAGCCCAGCTTGTAAAAAGTAATGGCTTGAATAAAATATTCCACCAAGAAGAGGCACTGACTTCAGGCTAAAACTGTGACTTCATATTGTCGTGGTTTAAACCCAGCCGGCAGCCCAACCCCACGCAGCCGCTCGCCCGCCCTCCCCTGCCCGGGGATGGAGGAGGGAGCTGGAGGGGTAAAGGGAGACTTGTAGGTCGAGATAAAACCAGTTCAATAATTGAACTGGAATAAACCAATGCCAACAGCAGACAGTCCAGGCGGGCAGTGCACGACGCGATCGCTCACCACCCGCCGACCGACACCCAGCCCGACCCCGGCCAGCCATCCCGAAATACCAAGATCCCGCCGTCGCCATCCCGGCAGCGAGAGAGAACCCCCCCTTCCCGGCCGCCCCTCCTTTCTATACTGAGCACGACGTTACACGGTGTGGAACATCCCAGTGCCCAGTTTGGGGCCGGTGCTCTGGCCGTGCTCCCTCCCAGCTCCTTGTGCACCCGCGCACGGGCAGGACACGGGGAGGTGGAGAGCCCTCGGTCTCGCAGCAACAGCTGAAACCATCAGCGTGTTACCAGCGTTCTGCTCACCCCAAATCCCATGGGGAATCCAAAGCACGGCGCTATTCCACCTACTGAGAAGAAAACTTAACTCTACCCCAGCCAAAACCAAGACATGTATCTACTTATTCCATATCAAGTGTAATATAGTATTTAATTTTCACAGCACATTGGAAAATTGTTTAGGAAATCAGTCTCTTGTATTCCAGCCCCACCATCGACCCAGTGCAACCACAGCATAAAATCCTCTTTACAGCCAACAAAACTAAACTTCATACTTTCGCAAAGGACAGAACATGGTTAACTTTGCCATTTCAGTCTTGGGTGTCACTGTTCAAAAACGATGTTGTTATTCATTGCAATGACAAATGAAATGGAAATACTTACATATTTCCTGCATACTCTTTTGAAGGCTTTGAAGAAACTGTAACATTTTTCTCAAAGTAGAAAAAGGAAAAATAAAAACTTAGCAGCTGATAAAGAGTTGCCAACCAATTTTTAAAGGAAAATAATTTGAAATAATTGTTGCAAGAAAATATATTTAATAAAAATAACATCATAAACAATATTAACTAATATTTTCTTACTGAAACTTTTATCACTCTCCATCCTGAAGTATCTTGACTGTATGATAAAATTTTTTCTGAAACTTCATCCACAATTTTCTTATAGTCCATTTATCTGTAAAGATTTAAAAGCAAATTGCTGGTATATGATAAAAGCATTCCTTAGAGACCAAAAACCATAAGGCTCATTCCTGTATTCTTTCCACAGGTTTTAGCATACATTAACTGAGTATTTCCATTAAATGAACTTTTTAGGCATCATATTCAATTTCAGAAAAAGTTAGCCATTATTTAAACAAAATTCTATAACGGACTTGCAGCCTGGGCTACTGAGAAGTAGCCACTGGTGTGGATCTTGAGAATGAATGATAGCATCTAGTGAGACACACCGTTCACTTCATATTATATCCATCATTACTCCATGTGAAAACTGCCCCTCCGTATACAATCTATCACCTGAGATTCTGATTCTGCCATGACATGCTAAAGGCATTAGACCAGTAGCCAACTTGCGTTGTTTAAACACACAAGGCTCAAAGAATCGAAGAGGTTTTTTTCTTAGCTCAGAGCTTTATGCCTCAAGCATTACGGCTGTGCTATGGGGGAAACTCTTTGGCAAGCGAGAGGCTTGGCTCTAGCAGCAGGGTTGCAGAAATTATCTTTCTCAAGAAACCCTCCACAACACAGACATCTGGGTGCTGGGGCTCCCGACCTCACTCTTTCCCCCCACACACACACTTGTACTATTCTCTGGTAATTTTTTCTCCTAAAATCAACTGTGGTCCTCCGGCTGACAGCACTGAACACCTGGACTAGTCTCTCATACAAAGCTCATGCTTTCTGGGCTTGATTCCTGTAACGGGTTGGCACACCTTCCCACAGCTCCCTCAGTGACACCCTGAGGAATTTAGGCGGGTGCTCCGTTCGCGCCCCGCGAAAGAGGGGGGCGTCCCCCCGCCTCAGACCCGCTGACAGGCGAAGCCGGCGCCGAAAACGAGACTTGGCCGGCGGGACCCTCACTCGCACCCACACCCACCCTCCAAGAGCTTCCCACCCGGCGGAGACAGCACCTTGAAGGCCGCGAAGGGGCGAGAACGGCAGCAGCAAACATTCACCTCAGCGGCGCCGAGCTTTCACCTCAGCGGCGCCGAGCTTTCACCTCAGCGGCGCGGGGCACGCCGGGAGTTGTAGTCCCGGCGAGCGCGGCGCCGGCCTCGCCTACAACTCCCGCCGGGCCGCGCGGCCTCCCCTGCGCATGCGCGCCGCCATTTTGTAACGGGACGGTCTCTTTTCCAAACCGCTGCGCGGCAAAACCCGGAGGAGCGGCCGGCGTGTGGGGTGGGGATGGTTTGGGGTTGCTTGAGGAGGGTTGGGTGGGGTCGGAGAATCTTTAGGGTGTTGTGGAGGGGCTGGGATGCTTTGGGCGCGTTTCCCCGCGCTGAGTGTGCTTTGTTGTGAGGGAAGGGGAACCGGGGGTGCCCGTCATGGCTGAGTCTTCCCGTGAGGGCTCACCCTTCTTCTCCCCGGGCTGTTGTGTGGGGATGAGGCCCTGGGAGGTCTCTGCCGGCTGCGTAGCCCTCAGGGCGGTGCTCTAACGCGGCTTTTCGGTTTTCCGGGGAAAACCACTTCGGCCTTGCAAGTACTGAGCCCCACTGTGCCTTTTTCAAATAAATTCTTATGTTGCTATTGCATGATGGTCTTTGTATGCATGCGATATTGGGTATAACTTAAACTGCAACATGACGGGGGGTTGCAACTCAGTGATCTCAAGGTCCCTTCCAGCCCAAACCATTCTATGAATCTATTCTACAATAACAAAATTAGATCTTTGTTACAGCACCCATTTCCTTAACACCTTAACAAATTTTCCCCAATGGTGTTTTACCTACAGGGATGAAATAAACGGTGAGGTTTCTTTCAGTGACCTTGGCCATCCATCCTGATTACAGCATTTAGAACTGGCCTGTACTTAAACTCTTACATTTACAGTTTGTGAAGTTACAAAGGCAGCTTAAATTGGGTTAACCTAATTGCATAGATAGGATGATTTTAAGTGCTCCCACGTGGCTTGTAAAATTCTTTTGCTGTGTGTACCCATTCCAGTTATATAAAAATATCTGCAAAAGTAATGACTTCCTACTCTTGTTACGTTGAGTTGCTTAGTTTTTTGTACTAAGCTACTTCTGTTTTTCTCCATGAACACAGCTCTTCTGAACTGATTCAGAAGTAGAAAGTTATGATACTTATGTGTGTCTTTGCTGAATTGTATGTTTAGTGACAAATGTCAGCAGTTCTTACAAGAAATCCTGTTCTTGCAAAACCAGAGTATTGAGATTCCTCTAGAAGTAGTGAGGAGCTGGATTTTCTTGCTCTTGTTATACTAAAGTTTCAATATAGAAGTTTTCCCTATTGTTATCTTCTTTTCCAGAGCCTTTATTTTCTGCCTTTGACTTTTCTAGGGGTGGCCAATATGTATGACAAACTTATTTGAGAAGCAGCAAGTTGAATAGCTAAATAGTAATTTTTAGGAAAATAATAGCTACAGAACAAAAGTAAAAAATCCTAGATACAGTTTATGAGAAGACATTTCAGCGCAGATGATCACTTGTGTATTTCTTTCTTTTTCCATTTAGATGGATTAAAAAGATGAGTGAAGATTCTAACAGAAACCTGGATACAAACCATGACAAGCTCAATAGAAGAAAGCAGTGTCTGCTCTCCTGATTCAACAGTATCTTCTCTTTTAACAAGCTATAGCATTGACAGCAGTAAGCCATACTCAAACAGCTTGATTCACTACAAGGACAAGCTTTACAGCTCTGCATCTGAGGCTTTGGAGGCTTATATTGAAGATTTTAATTTAAGTCTCACCTCTTCAGAAATCAGCACTGGAAAAATCTGCATATGTCAGAGCACTCCCAAACAAGTTAAGTTTTCAAAGAATCACACCAAAGGAAAACATGGTATGTCCCTGCAAATATGTTTAATAAGTTTTAGTGTTTGTTGTTCTTTTCATTTTCAGTGGTATTGCAACTCCTTGTCTCCCACCAGGCATGTTTTGTTGAAGGAATAGTCCCTGCACAACTGCTTGAAAGTCTTCATGGTATAGTAAATAACACTTGGTCATGGCTAGCAATATTTGTCATTCTCTGTAATGCTTTTTCATAAATGCTTGGTGAGAATTCATGACCGCACTCATAGATGCAATATTAAATTCCAGAGAATGGAATAGACATTGTATTTTCTATATGTGAATATATGCTGAAGACAGTGTAAATCATTGCTTAAACCCAAGTCTGGAAAAAAAAAATCTCAGTCTCCCTTCCAGAGTAAGTAACATTAAAATCTGACTGATGGAGTTCCCTTAAACACTGCTTTATCTTAGAATAAAACTTTCCTCTTATCCATTGATTTTTATGGAATGAAGTTTTGGGCCTGAAATCTAGCCCAGCTGGGTTTGAATTGTTTTTTTATAATTATTAGTTAGCTTGAATAAATAAATACTTAATGGATTCTGTGAACTTTTATGAGAAGATCTGGAGTAGATAACTGGGCTTGAGCTAATTTATATTGCAAAAGCTTTGTTCATAACATCTAAAATAACAAAGTCCTAAGTACAGGCAAACTTCATACCTGTCCCTGCCTGGGTTGCATTGGTGTGGATAGTTATGGTAGTATATTTTATTATTCAGGGCTTTTTTTTCTTCACCATAACCTATAACCTTCCTTTAACTTCACACCTTTCCTTTCTTTCTCTTACCAAGGCAGCTGTTTTTTAGCTGCGTTCAGCTTTTGGGTTATATTTTTCTAATACAAACCACCACTTATGTTTAACTGATTTCCCAAACAAAAATAAGCATTCTGATAGTCACTGAAAATGAGAAACTCTTCTGTAAAAGATGTCATTTCCTCACATTTTACTCTGAAATTTCTTTGTTGCTCTTCTCTGCAGAAGTCTCATTAGTTCTATTCACATTAGCTAGTTTGCATGTATGTTACAATAGTCTGTAATACTCAGAATTCACTTACTGATATTACAGTGAAAGAGAGAAAAAATAATTTCCAAGTACTAGCTGAGGAAAACCTGGTTTTGTGAATCAGTGTTTCATAGTTTCAGTAAAAAAAAAAAAAAAAAGGATTTGATGCTATATTTCTTCCCTGAAAAACTGTCAAGTCAAGTCTTACACAGCATGTTTCTGTAAAAATTGAGTTTAAAAGCCCATGACATGGCGACTTGAGTTGCAAGCTGTTGCTTTTAGCCATCTTTTTCTCTAGTAAATTTCCCCTGTTTCAACAGGGGGAAAGTCATCCCTAAAGTTTTACTGTGTGGAGGGAGTGTCGCTACTAGGACAGAAGTACTAAGCACATATCTGCATGTGAAACTAAAAATGGACTGTCGAATGTTGATTTCTTGTTTCTCTTTAAATTAAAAATTCAGATACTCAAAGCTGTAAATACTGTGTATGATGAAAGGAGGGGTAACTTGGCTGGGAAGGTTTTTATCAAGATTCTGATTAAAAACAGAACCACTCTTGCAAGAACTGTAATTCAGTACAGCCTGGTAAAGAATTATATTTCAGCTTTAAACTGTTACTTCATGTTAGATCTTACAAATGTATCCTTTTGGTATGCTTGAAGTTTAGCAATTCATATAAAATATCTTTGTTTTTCAGTATTGGATGATCTTAATCAGCACTCAGGATTAGGTTCTCTTGCTTCAGCCTTTAGAAGGCAAAGTGAGCGCGACCCAGACTTGATTAGTCTTGCGACGGATGATCTGTTAGCATTTCCAGCAGATGGATCACTGCCCTTTGTCCAGCGTAGTCCTTTTAAATCAAGGCATCAGAGTAGTGAGTGGAACAGAGGGTCCCTCAAAACATCTTCCTGCCCTTCCCAAACCTCATCGCTCGATACTGAAAGCAGTTTCCGTCTCCCCAAGAGCGGGAAGGCTGTTGCTCACCAGAATCTGCACAAAGACTTCAGTAAAAAGAAATGTGCTGTGTATACACCTGATAGGTACAATTCTGTCTCCTCTAAAGGAAGTTTGAGACCCTTGTCCTTTGAAGAGAACTCTAACACTTTTAAGAATTATCCAAGGTGGCTTACCAGTCAGAAGTCCGACTTAAGTGTATCGGAGATAAGTAGTATTCCCAATTTTCACTACCCAGTCTGGCTTAAGAGTTACAACCTTTTTTCTGATTCAGCTGAAGAAAGTGATGGTCAAAATTTTAATAGAGAAGGCAAATCCATCTCTTCACAAACTTTTGAGAGCCTGAAAGAAAGGCACTCTGTAGATAAAGACAGTTCTGATTATTTTGAACAAAAGGGTTGCCTGGATCTTGGAGGTGATAACAAAGTAGAAGAAAGTTGCAACTATGACAGTCCAGATGCATGCTTCCCATTTGAAAACTCTCTTTTGAGACATGGTAGAAAGCCATTCAGAGGTAAGTATATTTCATATAATTTGTTTTTTTGACTTTGAAGGTATGGGTGTAAAGACATTTTACATTTTTTTAAACCAACATTCTCTAGCTGTGTTAGTCTGACTGCACTGGACAGTAGGTTTATTCACTTCCATCTTTGACAAATGACTCAAAGCACTTACTAGTAGTTGACCAAGTTAAACAGCTTTTATGCTGTAAGCTTTCATATATAAATCAATATTTAAGCATTCCTTTTACAGCAAAGTATTTATTACAATGGCATATTTAGTACCTTACTGCAAGACAATGACAGTAACTCCATAAATATTTTAATAGAATTTCAAGCATTAAATTAAATCACATGAACTGTAACTTTGGGGGAGAGAGATTCCTAAACATTGGTGTAAATGAACCTGTCAAACTGGCAAAAAAACACCATTTATTGTGCAGTTTTTTTCTCGACATTACACAGTCAGCAGGAGATATTTGTAACCCATATGTTGAGGTTATCCATTGCCTTTGGTTTATGTAACGACTTTCCTTGGGAATCTCTCATGGTAGCTACTCTTTGCAGCAGGCCATCACTCCTCAGAAGCAGGGAGGTCCTGCCATGGTGAAGCACTATCTTTGTATTATGAAATATCAGCAAGATGAAAATGTTGGATATAAAAATGCCTGCAAATACCTTTCTAATGATGAACTTTAAATACAGGATTACATCTTTTTTCTTTTTTTTTTTCCCACAGAACATTTTACCAATCATAAACAGGCTATGTATAAAAAAATGTATGAGAATGTGTCTGTCACTTTGAGTGCTTGTCTCAAGATGTTTTTAAAGGGGAGTCCTGTATGTGATTGTATGATTGTATATGTGATTTTCATGTATATGTTTACATGATTTCTCCCACGGGTGTCTGTAAAAGCAGCTTTAGAAAAACCTGTATGAAATAATAAGAAAACTATTACTTACAGCAAAACTAAACAGAAAACTAAAACTTACAGTATTAATAAGTAATGTTGTGAATTAATATTCAGTATATAGCATGAAAACACATGAAAAACATTACATAATCCTGAATGCTGCATATGATACTTGTTTTACATAAGTTAGGAAAAGAAACACTTGACTATTTTAAATGCTCTTCTGGCTAGAACCATGCAGATCCCATTTGGTGCAGATGATTTACATGCCATACTGCCATACCATGATAACCAAAGGAGTTGTATGGGTGCTATATGCTGTGTAAAATGTTTTCAGTGCAAATTAATTTGTAGCAATTTTCTCTGAGTATTACATAGAATTAAAAGGAAAGTGGAAATAATGCCCTTGAAGAGGGTTGGACCCATAGCATCCTTGTTTTTTTTAGAAGAGCAGCTTGAGCTCCTTACCTTGAAGGCTGACAGAGGTCTGGAGGGTTCAACTGAAGATTTGTCAAGTAATCTGGAAAATGATGTCACTCCTTCTACAATAGATATACTAGGAGCAGAAAGATCATGGGAAAATGCTCCAGGTGCTCTGTAAGTAAAGATATTTTGGACTCATTTGTGAAAATGTAATGTATTTAATTGCTTTTGTATAGAAGTAATGGTTCTGTGGCTTGTACATAAATAAAAGATTTACGATGAGATTTCTTGCTGGTGCTAGATGTTTGGTATTTCAAGGTCAGGGTATTGGTGCACTGCTTTCTCTTTGTCATAGCCTTGTGGAGAGTGCCGTCGATATTACTTACTGTTGCCTTTTAATACCTTTGTGTATTAGTGATATATAAGAAACATTTATTTCAAGAGAAAAACTATTTAATGGAACTTAAATTGTCAGATTTACTAGTTTATGATTAATAATTTATGAAGAAGAACTTAATAGCGGTAAGTCCATTTGTTAAAGAAAGTGTGTGGCCTTGCAAAGTTTTGGAGCTGTCTTGGAAGTGAAATTTCAGTTGTTGAAGAACTGAAAGGTTATTTCATGGGATTGAGGAATGCTAAAAAATCAATACTAGAATTGCCTCCAGGTTTTAAGAAGCAGCTAGGTGTGTGTGATTCTGGGTGTTGTCTGTAGTCTCCCTTTACCCCAGCAGACTTTGTACTTTTGGTTCATTTTAGCAATGTTTATTAGGTGAGTAAAAGTCTCAAACCGCAGCATTCCTGTACGTGATAATAGCAGCGATACTATTCATGCTGTAAGAGAGACTAAGAATCTAACCTTCTGCTAGTAACCAGAATACCCACATAAGAGAACATCAGTGGAAATCAAACTTCATTAATATCTGGTTTTGAGATTACTAGCTTTGAATTAAAATACTTTAGAGAGTGTAGAGGAATTAGCAGCCCATAAGCAGAAGGTAACTATTTTTCTTGAGATGTTGAGTATTAATGGAGGAATACCAGGTGTAAGAAGAACTTCCTTGTATACTAGATAATAGCTAAGAATTGCTTACCTTTTTGGTTTAGTGGGTTTTTATGGCTACCCAGGTTTTAATTATCCTGGCAAAACTGGAAAAAAACAGTTGTGCGTTTCTCTAGTGCTGCCAGAACTATCCAGTGCCCCCTTGGTGTTGCATCGATGCAATATATCTGGTTTCATCTCACTAACTATCCTAAACCAATTCTTTTAGTTTATAAACCTGTTACTATTCTTCATTGCATATTTAATGTTGCTTCAGCAAACCACCAGTGCCTGTGTGCTGTGAGGACGTGGAGAATGCTCTACCATTCCCCAAGGCAGATATCATACATAAGTTCTTGGAAGACTGTTTAAATGACAAAAATAAGGTCAGTGAAATGGAGTATTTATTTCTGAGAGTGCCTAAAATATATAAGACTAGTAAATATAAGAAAGGGGAATACCTGTAAATTGATTTTCCTTCTTGTATCATATATAAATTAGGAAGTGTAACTGCAGTAGCTTAGTCATATTTGAGCTTGATGAATTCATAGAGTTATTAAATCTTATAATCTTAGCCTTGGTCACAATTATGATTAAAAAAACATCTAACTATAAAATGTTAGTAATAGTTTGACTTTTACACTCCATATTTTGTTGAAATAATAATTTTCCTGCTCTGAGTGAAGGAAGACAATTTTTTTGTTATTGATGTATTGAATACTACTAATCTCCTAGCTGCCTGATGTACTGTTGGGTATGAGTCAAATTCAAGAGGTAGGTTAAGTAACGTTTCTTATTATTTATGCTGTGGCACTGGAGTTGGATCATGGCTTGAATTTACTCTCTTCAGATTAGTCATTATTTTATTCCCATTCTTACATAATAATCACCTTCTTGGCAGTCTTAATATTGTTCAGTCTTTCATTTTAATTATATGAACCCTTTATCCTTTTCTCAGTTAGGGAGATTAGCAGTGAGCCCAGTATTCCAGTTGAAAGGCATACTCTTAATTTATGTACTGATACATTTCCTTTACTTTCTGCCCTATAGTCCTTGAATCCTAACTGCTCTAAGATTCTGTTTTCCCATCCTGTAGTAAACAGAACATTGCCCTCTTAAGTTTTTTCACTGTGGCACATACTTCTGTTTCCCTGCGGAGTTAGTTGACACAGAACCCAACAATGTGCACTAGTAATTCAAATTTTTCTGTCTGGTGACAATGTTGTTTCACTGTATTTCACCCTTCATGCTTCCAGTTCTGTTAGATCATCAGACATTCCTAGAGATAAGTATTTCTAGATTATCCACAAATTTTCGTCACTGGGTGTTAATCTGCTGCTTTTCTGATCATAGAACGAGCACATATCATATAGATGCTAATTATATGAATAAATCTGTGTATCATTAAGGAAGCTTACTTGCTCTATCAGTTATGAAATGTTGAAACATGTTCTAGCACTGCTGTCATAACGTTACAAGGACTGGCACTCTTAATATTCTGGAATTGTTTTACACAAGCCAAGGCTGAGGCCTTTCTGTGCTGCTTCATGTCTTCCTAACTATGTATGGACAGTGATTTCACAGACAGTGGCATAAATTAAGATGAAACCATGTAGCATCATACATGTACAATTTATAAAAAGATCTTAAAAGGTAGAGGGAAACACTCGTAGAAATTAGCCTTTAAATTGTTTCAGGGAAGCTTCAAACAGGTAGAGGGAAACGCTTGTAGGTATTAACCTTTAAATTATTTCAGGGAAACTTCAAACAAGTAGAGGGAAACACTCATAGAAATTAGGCTTTAAATTGTTTCAGGGAAACTTCAGAAGTTGGCTGTTTTGTTTTGTTTTTTTATGTGCACTGCAGCATGAACAAATTGTTTGGGTTTTGGTTTAGGATGCTGCTTTTTCTGGAGGTCATCACCACAGACCCCTGGAAGCTTTGAAGCTAATGTTGTTTAAACTTCAAGCGATTCGGGGAAGTTTAAGCCGGAATGAAACTGCTGAGCAAAAAGAAGAGCTTGAAAAAGTGAGTAGTCTGTTTCCTTGCGTTGTATCTTGTCAAAACCGATGTGCTGTGTCCGCTCCCGCGAAAAATTGTCAGTCCTTTTATAAACTTGGTTTCCAGTCATTTTAGAGCGCTGCCAGCAGATTCAATCCAGTTTCCAGCAGCTGCTCGAGATTGCTGCGCCCTAATTCCACTCCTCTCCCCCCCCCCCCCCCCCCCCGTGTCTCGTTGCTGCTGGGGCGAAGTGGGGGCCCCACTTTGCCTTCCGCTGCAGTCCCTCCTGCTCGCAAGGACGCGCTGCAGAAAGCAGGGCTGGCAAGCCAGGAGGTGGCGACATTTGAGGCGAGCGCATTGCTCTCTGCTGCTCTGGCAATATCTGTGGCCTGGAAAAAAAGCTGCCTGCTGAGAGTATCTCCGTTAATTCGAGGATTTGAAGGGCGTGTACCAAGCTTTTAAAAAAGCCAGATGTTCTCAGATGCTCTGTCCTTGCCTCCTTCGGCATCAGTGCATTGGTATTTTGTAGCGCTTCCGTTTCAAAATGATTTCACAGACTTTAGTATCTCTTCTTATCTTTTTCATAATGTTGCCTGCTTACAGTTCTTAAACCTTCTGTCCTATAATCAGTAGTGCGTGAAATGTTCCGTATAGATCTGGATCAGGCAGGTTGGGGGAATGAGCTGATGGGAACCTCGTGAAATTCAACAGCGGCAAATGCAAGGCCTTGTACTTAAGAAGGAGGAAACCCTCACAGCAATACAGGCTGTGGACTGCCTGGCTGGGAATCTGCTCTGTTGAAAATGCCTCAGAGGTCTCAGTAGGTACAAGCTGGACACGAGCAATCTGTGTGCCCTGGCAGCCAAGGAGGAACAGCAGAGTCTGGGCTATATGAACAGGAGCAGAGTCAATGGATCAAGAGAAATGATTGTCCCTCTGTATCCTCCAGCATTTATTACGCCACATCTTCGTTGGGGACACGGGCAGCGGGATCGATGCACCCTCAGCAAGTTCCCCGACAGCACCGAGCTGGATGGTGGGGGGCACGCTGAGGGCAGGGGTGGCATCCAGAGGGACCTGGGCAGGCTGGAGAGGGGGGCCCGGGCAAACCTCCTGGGGTTCAACAAGGCCAAGGGCAAGGTCCTGCCCGGGGGCCGGGGCGATCCCCAGCACAAACCCAGGCTGGGCCCTCGAGGAGCGGCTGGAGAGCAGCCCCAAGGAGAGGGGCTGGGGGTGCTGGGGGGGGGAAAACTGCCCGTGAGGCAGCCCCGTGCGCTGGCAGCCCAGAACCCACCCGTGCCCTGGGCTGCAGCCAGAGCAGGGGGGGCAGCAGGGCCAGGGAGGGGATTCTCCCCCTCTGCTCTGCTCTGGGGAGACCCCCCTGCAGTGCTGGGGCCAGCTCGGGGGCCCCCAACAGCAGAAGGACCCGGAGCTGCTCGAGCGGGGCCAGAGGAGGCCACGGAGATGCTGGGGGGGCTGGAGCAGCTCCCCTGGGGGGCCAGGTTGAGAGAGTTGGGGGGGGTTCAGCCTAAAAAACTGAGAGAGGGAAGATTTAGGTGAGATCTAAGGCAGAAATTCCTCCCTGTGCGGGGGGGTGAGGCGCTGGCCCAGGGTGCCCAGAGCAGCTGTGGGTGCCCCCTCCCTGGAAGGGTTCAAGGCCAGGTTGGACGGGGCTGGGAGCACCCTGGGCTGGGGGAAGGGGGCCCTGACCGGGGCAGAGGGGTTGAGATTAAGTGATTTTTAAGGTCCCTTCCCACCCAAACCATTCAGTGATTCTATACTACTGCATCCAGGATTAGGCCCCTCACTTCAGGAGAGACATTAATAAGCTGGTGGAGGGGCACCGAGGTGGTTGGGGGCACAGCACTTGTTTCTGGAGGGTAGTGGAGAGAACTGGGCTTGTTCAGACTAGAGAAGGGAAAGTTTGGGGGGACCTAATAGATGTTTCCCTGCACCCGAGGAAGGTATTGGGAAGATGGAGCTGGGATCTTCATAGGTGGAAGGATGAGACACAAGCATAAATTGAAACAGGAGGTTCACACTGAACACTGGGAGAAACTTGTTAACCCTGAAGATGGCCAAGCACTGGAACAAATTGTTCAAGGGAGGTTGTGCAGTCTCTGTCCTTGGAGGCTTTCAAGATTTCACTGGATAAAGCCCCGAATAACGTGCTGTAACCTCATAGCTGCCTCTGCTTTGAGCAGGAGCCCACTCCCTGAGGTCCCTCCCCACCTGAATTACTTTATGATGCTATAAAGTTATTTGCGATACTTTCCAGTGCAATGTGCTATAAAAATGAAATGTTTTCTGTCGTATTTCACCTGCTCTTGCTTCCTTCAGTTAACACATTTCTTTCTTTGTTTTAAGCTTTCTAAAAAAGCAGAGGCTGAATTAAAACTGTGTGACAGTGAGAGAATCCCGCTTACTAATTCTATTCGGAAGTAAGTGACTTTTCTGACTTTTCACTGTTTTCAGAAAGTGCAGAAGAGAAATGATAAATTAGTTGAGAGAGTTGTAATCTGATCTGAAAATTTTAAGAACAAGCCAGTAGTGAATAATTAAAAGCATGGCAGTTCATGGAGCAGGGAAATATCTAGTGTGAATACAGAGATGTATCTGTGAATAAACAGTTGTATTTCATCTCTATCAATGGATTATTGCTACATATAAATGGGCTTTAAAATAATCAGACTTGGAGGAATTTGCAACATGGGACAAAGTGTTTGCTTGCTTTTTTTTACTACAGTTGAGAAAAAAATTGCTAGAAAACATATTTCATTAATGAAATCAGAGTCTTACTGAACAGTTAAGTGACTAAAGAAATAATAAGTTTCAGAAAAGTCAGAATGGAAAATGGGTTAATTATATAGAACATTTGTTTCAACAAAACTGTGTTGCAGTACAGTTTTATACTGTAATGTAAAATTAAAATATGTTTTTTAATTTTAAAAAATGCAGTAACTTTCAGTATTGATATGCTGTTGTATGACATAATATTTTGCAGTGTTTAACTTCCTGTGTTAAATACCCACTCACTAATAATTTAATCGAAACTCTTTGTGTGAGCACCTGTATTTGAGAAGATATATTTAAAATTTCAGTTACAAAAAGTGTTTTATTTTTTTACAAAAAACATCTTGGCGTATTTTACAATCTAAAACAGAGTAAGTGGAACAGTTAGACATAGGGATGTAAACCCTATATAATATCATTTAAACTGTTAATCTGTTTGTAAGAAATCAGTGTTGTTAAAGTCTTAATTTTTCCTTATCTAGGGCTTTACACCACTTGTCACGTCTTAAAAGTCTTGTTGAAGATAACAGTAACCAACAAGAGCAGACCGATGATCAAGAAGAAGATAAACAACAAAAAAAATAAGAGAATAATCCGTGAAGCTGATATCTAAGAATATTTTAATATTGTGTAATTTAAATAATATTCCAGCCTGACCACTGGTCAACGTGTTTTTGAAAGCTGAACCAGTGCAGTGTTCTCAAAAATGTTGTATTCAGTATTCCTGTACATATTCATTACTTCAAAGTTTAATTGTTAGTGCTTCCAGTAGGCTCTAACGATATGTGAGAAGAGATACTACTTTTGAAAGAATATTTCATTAAAATAACGTTAACATTTTCATGGAGGAAAGTCTGTGTTTATCAAAATTTACAAAAAATACTAGACAATTTGCCAATTCTAGACATCATTACGTGGCTTCTTAGAAACAGGGGGAGCTCAGTATCGTGTGTAAAGTTAAGCAGTAAATTTTAGCAATCATATAATTACATAGTTCTTCCAGTCCTGTTCTTTCTAACAGGACTTGAGCTGATGTAACTGTATGCTCCTTGTTCCCCAGCTGCAAATTTATGTACAATTTACACATATGTTTTATCAAAAAGTGTCCGAAGTTTTTCTGAATTGTTCCTCCTTTTCACATCCACAGGAAGCCTGGCTCTTTGGAGCATCGAGTGCTGAGCCAACAGCTGGATTTCCCTGGTACTGGGAATTCCTCATCTCCCTTCCATTTTCCTTGGCTTTATTCTTCGCTTTAGAGCATAAAAAAAATCCTTCAGTGGGCCTGAACAGGCAAAGGAATGATAGAAGATTTTTATTTTTTATTTTTTTTTCAGCGTGACTGGATAGAATTAGCGTGTGAAAGCCACTGATAAGCACTGGAACTCGTGCAGGGGAGAGAGGAGTAGGTCTTACCCCGTTTGGCAAGAGCAAATTGAGAGACAGAGAAAAGCTGTAAGTAGTAATTTGAGTTGTGAGTTGAAATATAGTGACAGAACATTTTGAAAGAAGCGTTTTGTACCTCTTCTGAGGCTTATATAATGCAACCTAGCTCTTTGTGCTGTCAGTAAATAAAATGTGTATGGCAACAACTGTTTGCTTTTAATCTGGATGTTTATAAGTACACGTGACAAAGCACATATATGAGTATGTTCTGAGAAATGAAATAGAAACCAGAAGAAAAAGTAGAAGGAAGATTAGCTACATATTTCTCCCATCTTCCTGTTCCGAATTAGTAGGGAGAGAATAAATGACTTCATTTTATGAACGTTGTGGCATCATGAGAACAGGGGTGGATCCTAAGTAAGGCGTAATAATGTATTTCAGACAGATTTTATTAGTCTTTCTCAAATGCTGAGAGGTAGATCTGAAATCAGAGTACAGAAAACAAAAGCTTTCTTGTAGAAGCTTTTATAAAGCATTGCATTGCTGAGACGTAAACGTACGTAGCCATATATATCCATATACTGGGGGTATAACTGTTGTCTGTATCTGTTGGCCAGAGGTCATTTTATCAAAAAAAATCAGATGTGCAAGGAAAGATAAGGTGTTTTTTTTTCCCTGGCATCACGTGTGTCTTTTTTATTAATTCCTTCATGAAGAATTTTTATATCCATATTGTTGAGATTCCTCATTCTTTGGAGTTGTTTGTTTTTTGTTTTTTTTTATTCTCCAGATATTTCTCCTTCAGCATTTTAATGTGCTTTGGAGAATAACAGCACAACTTTCTTTGGGTTTTGTTTTACACAGACCCAGGTAACAAGTAAAACTATTGACATGACTGACTATTCATATTTACTGACTTTATATTGGCCAGGTCCAAAAGGCTTTGATCATGGTTGACTGTGAGGTCTGTACCACACAAAATAAAAGTACCTTAAGCATATATAAGTGAGAGATTAGTGACATTTTCTAGTTATAGACAACAGAAATTCAAATTAGAATAGAATAAAATAAAAAAAAACAGCAATAAAACCTCATTAGTAAGTAGAGACAACTGGTGTCACATAAAAATATTTTTTTTTTTTACACGCCATCAAGATTTTATGGCTATTAAACATTATTTTAAAGAGGGATTTGATCCCTTATATAGCAATAGGAAAAAAATAACTTTTTGATTGTAATATGCTGGTCAGTTCTTGCAGTTATAGGTGGAATTTAGTTCGCTTACAAGTTAGAATAAGGAAGTTGCCACTCAGGGAAAAAAAAAAAAAGAACTATGTTAATTAAGTACTAAACAAAAGTAATTGCTATATCCAAGGTGTCAGTGATGTTCTTGTCCTTGAGGCTAGATCAGAGAAAAGGGATTTTGCTGCACTACAGTCTTCTGTAGTGACAGTGGGGAAAACAAAAAGAAAGACGGAAACCTGGATTTGGAGGAAATACTAAAATAAAAGAGCAGGACTAGATAGAAGGAAAGGTACTGTTTCTCAGCAAGTTACAAGGACTGTTTGCTAAGGATGTACACAAGTATTTGTGATCCTATGTATTTGCATATACAGGAAATCTTTTATGAGGAGGGCACTTCCTGAATTACAGTGTGTATATATATATATCAGTAAAACGGAGCTGAGGGAAGTGAAGGTTTTGATGAAGACAAGTATTGGGCTCTTCAATCTTGATAAGACCACATCTGGTAAGACTCTGGCTTGGCACGGTGGGAGGAAAATAAGGGGGATTTTTGTCTCAGGGTTTTTTTTTATCTTTTAAAAGCTTAATGAGAGAGTCCACTGTGATACTGGTCTTGAAATGGAATGACTACGCTGCAGTTATCTTTTCCTCTGTAACAGTTTGTTTGCCTTAGCAAATCTCTCTGAATCCCTGTATTCACACTGATACAAAAAAGTGCTGATAGAAGAAAACTTAATTTCAGGCTCCAGATATCATGAAGACTAACAGTGCTGCCAGCAGAGGGTTAATTTGGCTAGAATTCATACCTGGTTTAGTCTGAAAAGGAGGATCTGAAAAACTGCAAACCCCACAGTCGCTCATTATCAACTTCTTAATTCTTTTCCTCTGTAACTCTGACACTGCCAGAGCAGTTGTATTTGTTTTCCAAGAGGTGCTTATGGATTCCCACATAAGTATCTGGAATTGTGAAACCCTTTAAAATCATGATGTATATTTTCTTCCTTGTCGACTGTGGATTCTGTGCTCTACCATGGTTTTTAATTTTTACGTCCTTACTCAAAATACTTGGTCAACTTTACAGCTGGTAGGTCGCTCCCTGTGCAGGGAGAATCACTGGGAAAAAAGGGAAATGAGAAAAACTTTTATTTTAATTGAGCTGATCCTGCTGTTGCCAGTGTGAATGGCTCAGCTTTCACAGCTCTTCCAGGGCAGAAAAGAAAGGACTGCTGAGGAGAGGTGGGCTCTATCTCATAAGGATACCAAGTGCTTCTTTAAGTTTAGGCTTACCCCTTTAGGTAGGAAGGCTTTAAACTAGAATTAGTGGGAATTGATGACAAAAGCATCCAATGTTATCAGTGGAAAGGTGACCAGAGGCATAGTAACTGTGGATACAGGGTTTTTATGAAAAGGATTAAATACAGAAAACGAGATAGTTGAGCATCGAAGATGTCTATACTAATGCAGGCTGTATGAAAATTAAATGGAAGAACGGACAAAGTTCTGTCTAAGGTTGTGATTTAGGCAACGTAAATGTTTATTTGGTGGGATATTTCATTGGATATAATGAATTAATACAGAAAAAAAAAAAAAGTGGAGGTGGGCCCTGAAGAAAAGGGGAGGGAAGATAACTTTCTCTATAAATACTTACCTTTGTATTGAAGTCTAGAATATAGAGGGAGATAATCTGTTAAAAGTATCTTCATGATAATAAAAGGAGAAAAAAGCCCAAGTGCTGTTATGTTGAGGCCATACCATTAAGACCACCAAACCAAAAAGGTTAAGATGGAAAGAACATTTTTGTAAACAACTGACAGAATAGCTTGCCTTGAGAAGACATAGTTAACCACATATTTGTTGGGAAAAAATAAATTAATTATAGAATATCCAGAGTATTTTTAGACTAGGATGATGTCAGGCTTTGATGCAGAAAGTGAAGGCTAATCCAAGAATTTCCTTACAAGGTTTTCAAGATTTTTAGAATGGAGAAGGGGAAGAGTAGGAAAAAAAAAGCAACTACAAGGGATTCAAAAATCTGCAAAATCCTGTGAAAAAAAGTCTAGAAAAAAGGTACTCAGGAGTTCAGCAGTTCATAAAAAATACATATATTTAAGATATAGTTGCAGGCTGTCCTCCTATGGAACAGTGAAAAGAAATGCAATACGTCGCGTAGTCCTCACGGGTCTTCAAGAAGGAAGCATAACGGAAATAGCTAGAATTGTCCCTAGAGATGAGTCATCTTGGACTTTTGTGCTTTTTGGAAAGTCCAGAGCACAAAAATGAAAGACGAGGAGGAAGAACTGTCGAAGGTAATCAGATAACCCAAAACTTCCTTATCGCTTTTGATAGTAAACAGTAAGTCTACTGATAAAAGAAAGGACCATGGAAAATTTTGATCCGTGCCCTCCCTGCAGAGAGTAATAAATGATGTCAGTGAAGGTAAAACTTTTACTTAAAACATCAAGGGCAGCGGGCGGTGGATAAAACTCAGATTACGACAGGGAAAACGTGATCGACAGCTCTTCCACAAGGTACCTGTGTTCAGGGGCCTATGCCTACCAGCATTAACACCAAGATCCTGGAGAGATGGCTGAAGTTATCTTTGAGTAATGTTTACAACTCCGTGCAGTCCCATAATGGTCTAGAAACAGGACTAGCCAAGTAACTTTTAATAAGAAGTCAGCAAAATGATACCAAAGAGTTCTAGGGCAATAAGCTTTACCTCAGTTTTCTAGGATTACGTAATCAAACATGGAATATAGCAAGGAAATGAGGAGGGGGAGGGAAGAAAAAGAAGAGAGAATTCATTATGACCACAGTGTATTACACAAACCTAGTTTCCTTTTTATGACTAGCTAGCCAACATTTAACACGTGTGCCTCAAAATAAGAAATCGTAGTCCGTTTTAAATTATTTTTAGGGAAGTGTGACGATGGGTGGAAAACAGTACTTGGAGAGCAGCTAACAATGAAGCCTATTGCTAGTTCTTATTTTCATAATGTGGTGGAGTTAGAGAAGATCCAGAGGAGAGCGACTGGAATAGAAGAGCTGCCTAATAGGGAGAGGCTAAAAAAGCCCAGAAAGGGGAACCTGTGTTCGATGTTGCTCAAATCCCACAAGGCAGAAATGTAGGAGGCCTTAAAGGAGCTAGGAGGAGATGCGTAGGACTCAGAAGTGCTCTTTCTTTTAACCAGCAAGCAGTAAAACTAGGAAGTCAAGGAGTCTCAAGAGGTTCAAAAAAGACTTTTAAGTCATGGAGTTTTTTCACAGAATGAAATCTAAAAGGAAGAGGCTATTTCCTCTAGTATCTCTCCTCCAACATTTCCGTGTGCTTGTAAAGTAGGAAAAGTGTAACCTGGAAATAGTAGCCAGGCTATCCTCTCCCTTATCATTTCCTAAAGTTCTGGGTAGCTAGGGCCATTGCAGGAGGGTAAAATGTAACAGTTCTGTTGCAGCAAGAGTGATTTAGGCTTGTGAAAACCTTTTTAACAATAAATGATATCTGTAAGCAGGGAAATGGGTTGCCAAAGAATTCCTGGAACCTCAACCGTTTTTGTGGTTGTCACGTAGATTACACAACCAGCCAAAACTGTAATTTAAATATTAAGTCCTTAGCATAGGTGAAGGAACTAGCTGACCTCTGCTTTTCTCCCCACTGCCAAATATCTGATGGTTCAGAATCTCATTGTCATGCCTTAGGGTTCATGTGATAGATGAATAATGTTAAATCCGAATGTGGAAACCGTCAGACCTTTCTGTTATAGTTTGGTGAAGGAGAGGTTTTGTATTGCATCACATTTCTAGACAGTGGTACTGTGCTAAATGCCATTAGTGTTACTGTGCAGAAGATGAGTCATTTCCCTGGACTCTGTAACATAACTGAGCACACATCAGAATTAACATTCTTTTGTTTCAATGTTTTTCTTGTCTTCTGTGAACGAATCTATTTCAGCTTTAGGAAATGGATAACCAAGCATTCGAAATGCACGGAGAGAGCATACAAAGTTCTTCAAGAGAAAAAGAGTGGCCAAAGAAAGAGGTACCAGTCATTTTTCTTTTACAGTGCTCTCAAAACATTATTAACAGAGCTCAGGCTGGAGATGAAACCCTTATTTTGTAAGAGGACCTAATCCTATGCTATCAAAAAGGTCCTGAAGAAAATAAAAGCTGCAAAAGGCTTTAATTGCCAAAGTCCTAAAATGCACAGCTCTGCGTGTGCCAGGTAGGATCTGAACTGTGAGACATAATTCCCTGGCCCCACTTAAGTTAATAGCTAAATTCTTTATCTTCTAACTACTGGACAAAGTCATTATCTTTGGAGGATTCCCCATTGATTTTAACAGAAAGAGCTACTTAAAAGCTCATCTAGTAGTAATGTTTAGTTTCTCTACTGAGTTGCGCATTAGAGTACCATTTCATCTTTTTTTTGTTTGTTTGTTTGTTTGCCCTTGAGATAAATAATTCTCTGTAATTTTCCCATTCAAATCTTTACTTCCTGGGCTTTGAATTAACTTCATGCCGTAAGAGTTGGCGTGTTGCTCATGAGCCATTACGTTTGTTTGCAGTCAGCACAGTGCTGCTTCTTGGCTATAAATATTCTAAGGCTAGTGATTTCCTCACGACATCACTCACTCCACACAGTTGTGCTGGGGTTGAATGTTCTGTATTAGTTATTATTATGTACTATGTACAGCGTTCTTTCGACTTCAAAAATAATTACTGGATTGGTGCCACTGCTGTGAAAAACGCTGTAAATTAAATCCCCTTCAAATCTGGAAAATGGGGATTTTTGAATGCATTTAACTATAAAGCCTTGTTCTCCGATGGGACGCTGCAGCCTGAGTACTACTGTTGTGATTTTTAATTGAACACAAGCTTTAAAAAGGGAGTCATTTAAACTGAAGAAAAGATTATTACCAAATAGAATAGGGGTGATATTTTGAGCACTTTTCTGCTGACAAGAGAAATAGATTTGTAAAGAGCTTTTGTCAAATGGATTAATGAAAAAGGTCGTTTTGTTAAAATCGGCAAGCAATCAATTTTTTTCATTTCTGATTGTCCAGCTCAAGAAATCAACGTTCGTAGCTCATTTGCAGGCACACACCATCTGAAAAAAATCAGGCTTTTAAAGGTAGATCAAGCTGCGTACCCAAAATCAGTAAAGAGTTGTAAAATTTGGGCCGTCTTTATTCATCAGAAGCTGCAAGTTCAGCAGCAAAAGTGGTTAAGGGACAGAAAACACTGAATATCCTCACCGAGGTGATGCTTCGTGGTGCCAGAAGTGCCTTGACCTTTTATAAAGAGCTCGTGTGCTTCTGTGTGCCCGGCTGCTTCTCCCCTTCACCCTCCTCCAGAGGCTTGAACGTCCACAGAGGAAATTTTTAGTAAAGAAATGATGCTCAGAGTGGGTTCGTATGGACAAAATGTCCCCATTCTGGCCTGTCTTCTCCACTGCCAGGGAGCTGGGCCACGTGAGACGTGACGTAAAACAAGAGACAGCATTTCTGCCCTGGAGAGGAAGGTTTGCCACGAGTTGATGCTACAGGTCTTCAGTGGTTTGTGGAACAGATTAGAAACAGTAGGGAAAAAAATCTTTAAGCATTTGTAAGGCCCCAAGATGACAAAATAATGAAAGGAGAGCAACAATCTGATGATATAATCTATAAATTTTCTCTGTACTGGACCCAGGAATTTGGCTGTAGCTGTGTTTCTGCAAGGCATGCCGGTTTGATTACAAAAGACCTATCACAAACTTCTTCCTGTGTGTTAGATGTAAGAAAACTTTTTCTTTTTTTCTTTCCGGGGGGTTTTATTAATTTCAGGAAAGAAAGGGCAGCTGGTCCCTAATGAAAGTCTTTCTAGTTTGTCTACTGGCCTGCGTTATCACCACCGCAATAGGAGTGCTGGTCCTGTCTTTGGTCTATGTAAACAACACCGCCTTTATAAAAGAGGTGGGTGTGCAAGATGAAGCTGCATCTTCCCCAAAACCAGGTGACAAAAGCGTGGATATCAAATTCCAGTTCCTGAATCATCTGGGGAAATCAAAGGTAAATTATTCCATCTTCTGCTGTAATATTCTAGCATCATATATAGTACTTTAATGAATTAATGTCACTTAACTATTTTTTAAGCATTAGCTATTCAGCCTAAACCTGTTATCCAGGCTTCTTTTCTAATCCACGGGGAGAGACAAAAACTCCCCGACAGCATTTCACTCCAATTCCCAACAGATTTTGGAAGTGCTATGGGTCTCTGGAGTAATGCCTCTTGGAGAGCTAAATATTTGCTCCAATAAATTAGGCTTGCAAGACAAGGCAACCGTCTTATGCGTGATTCTGAAATTGCAGGGTATGAAATTCTGAGAAACAAAACCAGAAAGAGCAAATTTTAATGTAAGCTGTGCAGCACACTAACCTTTTCGTTCTTGGGACTGGATTCGAACAAATTGTCATGTTGCAAGAAAAAATGAGCTCCCTGATCTTGTTTCAGCAAGCTAAAATTAATTAAGTGGCAATGTATAAAGAAGCTCTAGGAATTACGTTTTTGTTTAGGTGTGTTTTGCTACTTAGGGAAATGTATCCTTTGAGTAACCTCTAAAGACATACTCCATCTTCTAAATATTTCTTTATATAAAAAAGAATTCTTGATTAATTTTTGCTTTTCAGCAAAAGGAGGAACAGGATAGATTAGATAGTAGGGCACTTTAAACTGTTAACAGCCATTCTGATACTTTTTCATGTTAGATTTAACTATGTAATTAATTTTCAAACAAAAAATGGTTTTAAGAACGCAAACAAAAGTGTTTAACAGGAGAGCAACCCTTTTAGTATGTCCTTCCTCGGTGCCAGATGATTTTCTTTCGAGTACATAACATGTTCTAGAGGCAGTAAAAATAATGGGAAAGAAATTGTTTCAGGTGCAAGTAGTTTGCAGCCATAAAAATTCAGGAAAATGTCTTAATCAGGAAATGTTCTAAATGTTTTGAATCTAAAAGTTTAAGCATATATGTAACCCATTGCCCAAATTAAAGTTCAGAATGACATAAAAGGAGGAGGAGCAGATGATTTTGTTCTTCATATCACTATTTCTCTCAGTTGTAGAAACAACACTGTTACTTCACGACATGGGAAAGTCATGGTGGAAAATGAATAAAATACATACAGAGAGAATCCTTACTGAGAAAAGGGATAAATCCCTCCAGTATTGCCCAGACCAAGAATTTTCTGAAACATTTTTGGATTGTTTTGTCACCATTGTCCACAATTAATACAATTCTCCACTCTCACTGACTTTCCAGGTACATAACTACCCCGGTGGTGAAATTCAGTGGGCGAGATTCAGGAAGGATGTAAATGAATATCAAAGTGATGAAGAAATGGAATTTGGAAAAAGTATCAATAACCGTCGCTCCAAAATGACTTTTGGAACCTTACGGATCAAAAGCAAAGGGCTTCGGGCTCCCCACTGGCATTTTAATGCAAATGAACACGGCTACCTGCTACAGGTATTATCTGATTTTTTTTTTTTTTTTTTTTTTTTCAGCTTTCCCAATTGGCTTTGCAGTTTAAAGCATCATGCATCTATAGATAAGATGTGTGTGTGTAAAAAAAAAAAAAAAATTACATATATATAAATGTCAACAGGTACTAAAAGCAAAATTACCATTGATTGATGTATGACATTAGGGGTTTTTTGCCTGAAATTTCATTTTCACATGGAGGTGCTTGAAATAGGCTGTTTGTTGCTACTTGGTCAAGTACCAAACGCCTGTAGCGTGCAGTATAAAAACTGAGGTCCGAGGAGATTTTGGATACCTGAAAGTTAGAGAATTTTAGGTACTTAGCCAAGTATAAGTAGAAACTCCCTGTGAGGACTTCAAGATAGCGTATTAATTTGAAAACACGACGTATGTACTTATCCAAATACAAGTAGAAACTCCCTGTGAGGAATTCAAGATCGCATATTGATTTGAAAACACAGTGATCTTTCTTTGGAAGCATAGGTACTTCGATATATCTCAATTATTCATTTATTGCCAAGAATAACTGTTCATAGTTTGATCAGCGCAGAACTGAGCAGCTCCAGCAGGATGGGGGGATCCTCCTTGGAGTAAGGCATTCTACAAACACCCGCTCCTCTCTCCAGCAGTTTTTGATCAAAGATGACTCTTTCACAGCTGTTCACAACCTCGTGAAATAAGAAATGGTTTAAGTGTGAGCAATGTATATTTGTCCTGTGTTCCTTAAACCATCTAAAATCCTGTCACTTCAAATGCTATTCTGGATTTAAGGTCACAAAGGGCTTGCTAGAGAGTTCATCAGGATCTGTTTTTTCCTAACAGCCTTCCAGTCATTTAAATCCTTGATTCACCGCCTACGGATGAAATGAGAAAACTTGCCTCACAATCATTAAATTCTGATTATGTGACAGGGTACTGCCTGGATTGGAGTCATTGGTGCAGACGACAGCGTGGTCACCACGTACAACGTCACGGCTGGTCAAGTGATCTTCTTCCCTCGGAACACTGTGCATTGGATAAAGAACGTCGGATCGGCAGACTGTGTGTTCTTGCTCTTTTTTACAACACACGAAGAACTTCAGACCTTGGATGTCGATGACGCGTTTTTCTCTACCCCAGAGGATATAGCAGCTAGAGCATTAAAGGTCTGTGTGATAACACAGCCAGCCTCTATCTAGTCTTCTACACATTAATATGGCAATCCAGGCTCGCTCTTTCTATTTTTTGGGGAGGATCCTCCCTACCTCAGCTGTTCTCTTTAGTTCTCTCAGCGCAGAGTGATGTACACACAGCCTTTGTGTAACTCTCTGCCACCCTTATACACAAGGAGAAGTAAATGATGATGCTCTCCCTAAGAAACTTTCCCACTCTTCACATTTACCTCCAGTTCGTGGAGGTTCCCCCGTATTTCCAAGGGTGGAAGGGAAAATAACACAGTGAAACCCAAAGCTGATGTTCCAATTTTAGCCCCTTCTGTGGTATGAGATCTCATAGGAAATTACGGACAAGTCCGTCTCCTTGTTAAAATGGATCTTATTTGAACTGACCTGTTGGCAATGTCCCATGAGCAAGAATATAGCCAGAGTTTCTGCTGAGTCTGAGGAATTTGCATGTTCAAACCACAGAATTGTGATGGACCTTCCCACCCTGAGGCAGTTTGCTGGGAGATGGCTCGAGTTTCTTCCCTTCTGCTTCAAATCTCTCTGGTAATTGAGAAGGAAGGACAGAGCAAAGGAGGAAAATAGAGAATTGACAGGGCGAGGCAATTAAGGGGGGGTGTGTCCACAAGGCAGAATTTATCTACTACCGGGTAGGAAAGTGGAATATTCAATGAAGCGAAATGTTAATTCCGCAGTTTGCTGTGTGTCTCTCAACTTCTTATTCATTGGGTGTCCCGCAGCCACAAGGTGGAGTGAACTTCATCCGAACATTCAAGAAACAAGCAGAAGATCAAGCAGTTAACCTCCCAGCAAACTTAGATGAGCTGGTCCAAAATGCCACCTACGTGCAGTCTCCAGACAACCTTGTGTGGCAGTACTTCTACAATCTCAAAGGTAAACATCAAGGAACTTTGTATGTAAGACCTTTCTGTGTTTCTAGAAGGGGAGAGGAAGGGATCTGTAATCAGTTTGCTGAAACAGGAGTTAAAAAGTATATAGAGAAATTAATGAGAATTTGAGGAGGTAAAATGAAAAATATATTGGCGATATATCTAATTACTGCCCTTAGAAGACGTATAGCCTGATTCTTATCTCAAAGTAGCTTCCCCTTTTGATTTTTCACGTCTCTGTACTGTCCAACTCAAGGTTCTCTACTGAAGTACGTAACCAGGACTGGTGTGTTCCCTGCTGCAGTTAAGTTAAGCAATAGCCTAAACTTTTCATTTGCAAATTAAAATCTACTAGGCCAGGAAACCCTGCAGCAGATTATCTGGAGAGTGACCGGTGCTGAGCTGCTTAGAATATCTTGCCTTTGCATCTGAAGCATCCATGAATAAACACTTTAACATACATGTTATTATGTCCTCCTTTTTTTTTTTTTTTTTACAAAAACAACTTCATAAACAGCACTGAACCATATTCACCATTTGGTTTATCAATAATTGTATTGAACAACCCTCTATACAGCCTGGATCTAGTGATTATCAGTGAGCATCTAATAAACATGGATGGCAAAGCTTAATTTCAAGTAGTATAGTCTATTCAAGAAGCTATAAAAAGCAAATGGAGGTCCAGAGCTCCTCACACAGCTGATGGAGCTAATGAGAAATAGATGTGTGACAAAAAAATCTTTGCACTTGAACCAAAATGTTTTTCTGTGCTGGCAGTGCTTTACAAAAGATGTGACACACAATCAGTGCCGTAAAGGTTAACGTGAATTAACATACTGACAGTTTGCATGTTTTTTAAGTGTATTGTTCTCGATAGCAATTTGGGCTGGAAAAAATCTAGACAGTTTTTCATTATGATTATCTGACTACAGAAAAAATACAGAGAAGGAGATTGCATGAGGGATAGATAAGCTAAATGGGCTTTCCTTTTGGTTCCAGAGGCCTCAGGTTGGGTACGTAGGAGCAACTCGAGGTTGCCCAATAGACTAACAAGCAACGTTAACCAACCCTTGTTGGAAATGATCATTTTGCTCTCTTTGTCTTAGGCTCAGCAGAATATCCTTTCCCGGGAGGAATCTTCCAGTGGGCTCGCTACCGCAAAAATGGCACGGGACTAAATGAAACAGAAAAAATTTTTAGTGAGTCTTTGAACAAGGTAATGCGCTTTCAGTTGGATACTGTGTTTAAACATAAGGCACAGGCTGTAATTTCTGTGGGCTCATCGCTGCTTTGTCACATATAACAAGCTTGGGAGGTTTTCTGAACGTTTCTCTTCTGTTTTTCAGCATGAAAATACCCTCACTTTAGCAACTCTCAGGATATCCAGCAACGGACTGGGGCAGCCTCATTTCCACTTCAATGCTAACGAGATGGGTTATGTCATTAGTGGCTGTGGACAGGTAATTTGTTTGATCAGCGAGGGATAAGTCAGTGGAGTTCTGGCTGTAAAACAATTACAGACCTAATAACTGATTCCCAGCCCTGATTACTATTACTACAATTAGTAGTATTACAGAACTTTTAGCGTCCACATTTGCCTTCTCTGTACACAAGTTTAATCTCAGTTACATTTCTGGAAGCTTGCCAGTCAAAGTGGAGTTATACAAAGAGCAGAGTTTGTCTGTCTTCTGAAGCTGTTCAGCAAAATCACACATTTTCTGAATCGCCACTCTCCTGAATGCTGGGAGTACAAAATCAAAAAGCAATGCTTTTGATTTAGCGCCCCTGAGGAGCAGATAAATAGAGAAGATTTAGTGAGCATTACGATTTAAAGTACAGGATTTTATTATGTAACGGCACACTGAACATTGTTGTTGTTCAATATTGCTCTTTCCTTGCAATAGGTTGGAGTTATTCTCTCTGGAGTCACCGCCAACTTCAACATTGGCATTGGAGATGTCATATTTTTCCCGGTTGGAACCCAACATTTTATCAAGAGCGTATGCGATGAGGATTTATTTTTGATTCTAGCCTACAGCACAGGAAACCAGGTGAGAACTCACATGGGCAAGGGGGAGTCAAAAAATGTTCAGCTCTGCTTTTCTCGTGCACGTAAGCTTTATGCTTTGGTGCACGCCTTTCAAAAGAAATTCAAATAATACGTCAAGTACAAATTCCCTTCTGGTTTGAGTGATTGGCATACAACACCTATCAAAACTCCATCTGCGGAAACAGGAGGTGGAGAAGATAAAGAAAAGGAGCCAGAGCAAGGGTGTATTATTTATCTAAGGCTACACCTATCCACTCAATAGCCCAGTGTAAGACTTGCTATTAGTTATATACTTCTATGTTAATTCATTTTCTTCTTGGATTTGAGGTGCACTTGAATACTCCATATTATTAATACTGTAAAAATGATCAGGTTAGCTACGCTTAGTCTTTTTAAACTGCTGCCTTTTTCTTCATAGCTGGAAACTCTTCGTATGAATGACTACTTCCATGGAACAGCAGATCATATCCTTGCTCAGCTTTTTTTCAAGAAACAGGCTGAGTTTAAGAAGTTCCCGAAGGCTGCCAAAAAATTAGGCAAATAACATCTCTTAGGTGTTAATGGTTCCACGATTTTTTTTCACAATCGTCATGTTCCTAGCAGTACTTTTTGGTACCTTTCTCACTATTTATCCAGAGATGGTCTGAAAGAAAAGAAGAATTTGAGGTTATTAATTATAAAAAGTTATTTTCTTTTTGTATTTTTATCATGTTTTATTTATTGTGCAATATAATTTGATTGTATATTAATTTCCACCATTACAATTGCCTTTTGTTCTCTCTAACATCCATTATCCCCCACACACTTCTTCACTTGCACTATGATGATTTTCTCACAGGTAGATAGGACTCTTATCTACCGGCATCTGCACAAAACCAGCTCAATCCGTCCCCAAAACAGGTTTGGGTTACAAGCCCTGCATCTAACAGTGACGGCCAAAATGAGCTCGGCACGCACTCAGCTCCTCTTCACCCTCTCACCCTTAATTGCAGTTCCTACAGTGGGGCACTGGCTTAGAATTTAGGACAACTCCCTCCTTTTCCCACCTTTGCCACCAAAATGCTAGCTGATTTTGAAAGAAGCCCCAAAAACTAGGCCAAAAAGTAGCAAAGATGGAGGCCCAGAGAGGCATCTATGCCATTTTTTTGTGCCCCACAAGTTCCCATTCCTTCTTGTGTAAATATTTAATTACAGCCAACAGGATGGAGGGAGGCAAGGAGATCTTTCTCTGTTCCCAAGGGGTTAGGGCTTACTTTAAATTTTTTATCTCAGGAAATACTTGTTTAAACCAAATCAGGATCAGAGTGTCTCACTGATTTATTATCAACACACAGCAAACAAGGATTCAGTGCAATACACACCTGAGATTCAATTTAATTTCTTCTCGAGGCTCTTGCTAATCCCCTGGCTACTCTTTAAGCGGGCTGAAGGTCATCTTCCTCCTCATCTTCATCAATTTAGGGTAAACATCCCCTCAGCTCAGGGTACTCCAGGTGCGGCTGCAGCCACGCTGCCCAAACTCCCACCATTTTGCAGAGCGGCTGGGCAGGTCCCTGCCCCAACATCTGCTGAAATACCTTGGCCCTCCCTGAGGGTTTTCTCGGTAGCTGGGCTCTGTGTCCTGGTTGGAGCCCCGAGGGCAACTGAGCCCCACGCAGATGTTCCCTCACCCCTTCCCCCTCAGGAGCTGGAGGGAGAAAATGAAGCACAAATGGCTCAGGAATCCAGATAAGGACAGGGAGGGGTGGCTCACCCATAATGGTCATGGGTAAAAAACATCACTTTAATTCAAATGCTGACAAAGACAGCACTTAACAGACAAGGTGGGACAGTGGGAAGCGCCACCACATCCCAAACCCCCTTCCCCTCCTCACCCCTCCCTCCTCCCCGGGCTCAGCTCTGCTCCCCATCTCTCCCCCTCCTCCCCCAGCGGCGCAGGGGGCAGGGGATGGGGGTCACAGTCAGCTCCTGCTCCTTCCTGCTCGGGAGCTGGGGGGAACGCTGCACAGCCCTCCCCTGCTCCCCGGGGCTCCCCTCTCACTGCAGACAGTTCTTCACCAACCTCCTCCGGTGGGAGTCCCTCCCCACGGGCCGCAGCCGTTCCCGAGCTGCTCCGCCATGGGTCCCCCCAACGTGTTCCAGCCCTCCCAGCACCGAACCACCACAGTGGGGGCTGCTTCTTCCCTCAGAGTCCCGGCCTCCTTTAAGCGCAGCCGGCTGTCCCGGGGTGCTGGTTGGCTTCCACTCCACCGGTGACCTCCCTGGGTGGCGGGGGGTGGCCCTGCCATCTCCCCATGCGGTACAGGGGGCTCTGCTCCAGCGCACCTCCCTCACATCCTACTCATTCCTTCCACTGACCTGAGTGTTCATCCTTCTCACAACTCCCACTCCTCCTCCCAGGTTCTCCTTCTTAAATACGTTCTCGCAGAGCCACAGCCACCGTCGCTATTTGGCTCGGCCTTGGTGCAGAAGTGGGTCTGACTTGGAGCCGGGGGAGCTTTCGAGAAGCTTCTCACAGGGGGGGCACTGCTCTACCCCCCTCCCCTGCTACCAAAACCCCCCTCCCCACAAACCAGCACACAGAGCCCTGCAGAGCAGGCAGGGGAGGGAAGGCCCAGACCTCGGAGCCCAGCGGGCCCAAAGCATCGACTGGCAGCTGGAGCCTGTTAGTTTGCACCCCCCCTGAATCCTTAGCGGGGGGAATACATTAAAGGGCTTCTTCCCACAGCCCCGCTAGCTCAGGTTAACTCCCAATTTTTCCTTTAAATCCACCTCCCAGTTTGCAGAATGGTTTGGGTGGGAAGGGACCTTAAAGATCGTTGAATCTCAATCCCCTTGTAAGGAGCAGGGCCCCCTTCCCCCAGCCCAGGGGGCTCCCAGCCCCGGCCAACCTGGCCTTGAACCCTTCCAGGGAGGGGGCACCCACAGCTGCTCTGGGCACCCTGGGCCAGCGCCTCACCCCCCAAACAGGGAGGAATTTCTGCTTTAAATCTAATTTATATCTCAATTCTTTCAGTGTAAAACCGTCCCCCCTCGTCCCGTCCCCACCCCCCTGACCCAGGGTCCCTCCCCCCCTCTCCTGTCCCCCCTTTAAGCCCTGGGAGGCCGCTCGAAGGGCTCCCCGGAGCCTTCTCTTCTCCAGGCTGAACCCCCCCAACTCTCTCAGCCCGGCCCCCCAGGGGAGCTGCTCCAGCCCCCCCAGCATCTCCGTGGCCTCCTCTGGCCCCGCTCGAGCAGCTCCAGGTCCTTCTGCTGTTGGGGGCTGCAGGGGAGGGGAACCTCCCTGGTTTGACCTTGACCCTAACCTCACCACCACTATAATCTCTCTTAAGTCACCCTGCACCCCAAGGGGCAGAGTCCTGCCTCATCATTAGGTTATTAAATGCTTTCAAGTGTTAGGAGAGAAACAGGCTGGTTTCTCAGGTGCCAGATGTTGTGCTGTGTGCTCCTAGGGCTGGGTTTGACCTGCCATTGGAGAGGTTTGGTCTCTCTTTTTTTTTTTTTTTTTTTTCGACGTGCTGATTTTATTCCATCTTGTATTTGAGGGCAAGCTTCTCCTCAAAATATATCTTGATAGATTCATGTTCTTTACCCAGGTGGTTGCTGTTCTTACCGGCAGGACAGTGAGTCAGTGAAAGATTTATCTAAAAGTGTTAAAAGCCTGGGATTTCTAATTTAGATTTTGCCAGCTGATCCTTGCGAGTCCCCAGATCCTAGGAAGCCCCAGAAGGGCGCAATCAGCGTTTGCTACATAAGCAAACCAGGTTATATTTTATATAATATGCTCCAGCAATCTAGTTAGCTCTACAAACTACTTCATTAAGACCCGCAAGCAGCAGGGTTCAGGTTCTGTGGATATTTTGGGGGAGCCCGGCGGGAGATTTGGTTGTCTAGGAGTCTGTTCCTATTTGGGTACAAACATTTTGCTCTTTCTTTACTCGGTGCTGGTTGGCTTAAGTCCCCGTACACCGTGAGTAGGGTGAGCACAGTCTGGAGAACCTCGGGGAAGGACCACGAAGGGAAACCTGTCGCCCGTCATTTCCTTGCCGGGTGCCTCCAAATCAATCGGGTTAACAGCCTGCAAAATGCACTTGCCAAAAGCAATTTCCACCCCGTCAGCCGCCACAGCCTTTTTTACCAAATGTTGTTGTTTTTTTTTTTTTTTTTTTCTTTAATTAGCTTTTGGTCTACTAATTGCAGGCTGATTCTCCAGCTGCCTGAAGTGCTTTTTGCTCACCTGTAAGCGCGTGTCCAGGCGGGCTGCCTTCCGTATCTGTTTTATGGATGTGCTGGGTTTAATTCTCCTTTAATTCTGATAATCCAGCTGTTCTCATCGCAGCTTCTTTAGGTGTCAGTCAACCTTTGGGCTGGCATCACACCTCCCTGCAGCTGGCCACAGTGGGATTTAATACGCTGCTAAATCGTGTTTCTTCTACCTCCTGGGTTCAGAATCCAAGCGAACGATCAGAGCACGAGTGCCAGATCCCCAGTGTGTCTTAAGCTGCCTAAACCAGTGAACTTTTCCTACCGTTGAGCCCAGAACCTCGCCTGAAGACCTGATAAAGATCCCGATACCCTCTGATTTAGCCCTGAAACTGCTGCTTGCGCTCTGAAATAAAAGAGTAAGAGGTGAAGAGCTACTGGGATCTGTACACGAAGTTACAAGGTAACTCCACCTGATGGAATATATAGTTGTTGCTGGATGTTGTGTAGCTCTGGACCACTGTATATGGTATTATTCCCGGTCGTTAATATTGCAGCTTTGAATATAATGTTTGGCTTGGAAGAGCAATGTGTTCAGTGAATGATGATTTACGCTCTTCCCTTTTGCTTTCTCTTTGATTAGTGAATAAACTAGATTTTCTCCCCCCCACTATTACAAGCCCAAGGTGAAAGGACTAAGAGCTACTTAGATCTGGTTCCTAAAAAGGTGAGACTTGCCTCTTTAGCCTCCTTTATCTTTTTTAAGCTTTTTGCCTATCTACCCAGAGAACGATTGGTCGGCTTTTGCGCAAAAAGTTTTCTCCAGGCGTGAAATTCTGGAACTGACGTGGGAGAGAGGGGCTTGAAATGCGTCCGGCCATCTGGGCTGAACTTTGGAGAAAGAGATGAGGAGCAAGCTTCCCAGCTCGGCTCTGAAAAACAAAAACGTGGCAGGAGATAGGAATCGCCGAAGACCACGAGATGTGCTCCAGGGAGCTTCTCTCGTTCCGTTTAAGCTTTTTCTTTGAACTCGAGCTCCTGTTTAAGGGATTTGCTTTAAGGCCGCAGAAAGAAACGCAAGCAGACGGAGAGAATTCCACTCGGCCTTTTAGTTTTGGTTCCTGCCTTCGGGTTTGGGTGCTGTTTTCTTGCCTGCCCGTGGTCGGGAGCCACGAGGGCACCCTGCGCCGAGCGGGCTGGCGGTGTGCTCGCCGCAGACCACTTAGCTTGGGATCACAAATACAGATGTGCAACACACAGCTGTCTCCTAAATTCACCTGTATTGCAAGACCAAAAACCCGGGGAGGACCCTTGTTTTGGTCACTGGGAGAATGGGAATGTGGTAGCTCTGGGTTTTTTTCGGGCCGCTCTTGCAGTGCGGCAGGTGATTCCCCTGAAACCAGAGGTGCTTTTCACTGTGGTATGTACATCCCTGAATATGAGAAAAAAACAAAACAAAACAAAAGAAAAAAACAGTAAAACATTGATTGAAACATTTTTATTTAAAGAATAAA